TGTGAGTGGTGTTCTAGAAGTGTGCTGGAGGTGTGGGGTTTCACTCTGTGTTAAAGATTCATGCAGACACTGGGACAGGCCATTAGTTTACTTAGAAAATCTACCGCAGATAATTGCTCCAGTGAGTCTGCAGTTTGAAGGGTCACGGCAGTGAGCTAAAAGTACCTGAACCTGATTTACCTCGTAAATGGTATCTACCTCATTTTGTTTTGGCGCTGGGGCCTGGGGCAGTTGGATGGTTATTGTGAAGGTTCTGGGCTGAAAAGTTCAGAAACCCTCTGGTATTGGCCTCTACATAAATGCTCTAAAATGAATGGAATCACTCAATTCATATTTTGTCACATTTTAAGCCTGTAAAAATGTAATTCATATGACACATAATAATACATATGTTGTTCTTATTTATTAATTTTTTTTTTAGAAGTTTTAATTTTTATTTCTTCAGTCTGAGGTTCAGCGTGCACACAATATAATCTGCTTATGATGCGTGTCAGACAGTTAGAGCACATGATCATCATGTTTAAAGTGAATATTTCTTATTATATGGACTTCAAATAAAGTGAAGGGTGTAGAGTGTGAGCTCTGGCTCTGGAAACACCAGGAGCTCATGGGACAAAACATGACGAGCACACATCTGCAACTACACCCTCCTCCTTCTGTTAGACTCCACTGAGACCTCTGACCTTCTGAGGACACTAGAATAAGGGCCGCACAATCACTACAAACAAAACATGTAACATTAGACGAGATTAGAAACACTTTATTATCCTAAATAAAATTCATTCATTTTAATGAATGAATGATTAATAATGTGACTGGGCCTCAGGATTCTTTGTACAGAAAAAGTCAGGCCCGAGGTGAACATGTGTCTATATTATAACCTTGATATAATATAGACAGATTATTCATGTGCAAAAACACCTGTATGGGCCCAGTCTGGTGACAGGAGCACCTCTGCATTTTGAAAGAAGAAAATGTAAATAAGACACGTCTGACCTTCCTCCATAGCAGCGGCGTTCTGTTGGCGGGGCATCTGGACGTCTCTGCCGATGCAGTGGGCACAGACTGAGGACGTCTGCTCCTGCCCGCGCACTCAGGTGTCCAGACGGTCACCATGACGACGCACCATGTGATCTCAGGTGAGTGTGATCAGGCAGATCATATTTTATACAGTGAGTCCAGAGCGCGCTCAGAGGAGAGCTGCTGTCCACAGGAGACAGGCCTACAATAAAAGTCCATCATTCAGAAGGAAAAGTCTCACAGAGACAGTACAGCTAAAGCAGCAGAGCTCTGGGACAGCTCATGTTACACAGTGGAGCTTTAAACCCAGAGTCCTGCAGGCACTCTCATCGTCTGTAACCATGGTAACCAGACACACACCTGTGTGTCTCTTGAGGGCACACAGACATATAAGATATAACATTTACGGCCCCACATTCATTGCAAAATATTCTATAAATATACATGAGCCTTTTCACAAGTATTATAAAAATATGTATCAAATATAACTGCTATGATGTAACTGATGTGCTGCTCTACAGTTATTGATGTACTGTTATATTTGATTATTGTACTATTATAATTCACTATACAATGACCCAGAAAACAGGGACCAGATTACACCTGAGGGATGCAGAGATAGGTTCAGTTCATGTACAAGATATTCTATTTCTATCTATATGTCTAATCAATTAACTAAATAGGACAAGGACTTATTGATAGGGATATGCTGACTCACAATTCATCACCCTGATCAGACCAGCAAGACTCCCGTAAGAGGAGTGAGATGAAGCCGGGGAATCCTTGTCACAATTGGATAAGATTGTGCAACATGCCAAGAGGCCTGGCTGCACCAACGAAGAGGCACTAAGTCTAAACCACGGTCGCCTCCCACTATAGTTATAGTGCGTATAAAAATAATTGTGTAGGCTTAAATATTCAGTCTCTGCATGGGAATGTTAGCACAAACTCTTTGTACAAGTATGACTTTTCTAATATTGGAATAAGTAAATTATCTGGACTTTATTTCTGTTTCAAGTGTAATTATTTGTCTAAGCAGAAACTAACGAACACGCAAGGAAAAGGGTTATTTTCCTCAACATAACCTACTGTGTAGGTAAATTATTTCAGTGAAACATAACATGCAAAATTGTTAATTGTTTCTCCACATGGAGAGAGTATGAACTAGGGAGAGATTACTTGCTTTAATGCTTATTTAATACATGGCACAAAGTTTCAGACCAAAGCTGTTGGTGAGCTTCTCCACCAAGCCAGACCTCCAACACACTGCCTCATGGAGGAACAGCACTTGCCATTGAGCTGACTTCTTATAATACCTACAACACTCTCTGCAGATATTTGGCCGTAGCCACTTTCCTTGTTGCCTCTTCAAGGAGCCATTTTCTTGTGGGATACCGAGGTACTTGTAACTGTCCTCAATGTCTGCTATTGTTTCCCTCTGTGTGTACTACCTTCCCTCTCTTTGTCACCATCCTAGTCCATTTCTCAAGCCCGAATGACATTCCAATGTCTGTGCTGTAGATCCTGGTGGTGTGGATCAGTGAGTCAATGTCTCGCTCGCTCTAGCTGATGTCGTCCATGTAGAGGAGGTGACTGATGGCCCTGTTTCTGAGTCGGTATCCATAGCCAGTGCGGTCAGTGATTTGGCTGAGGGGGTTCAGACTTATGCAGAACAGTAGTGGGGACAGTGAGTCTCCTTGGTATATGCCACATTTGATGGACACTTGTGCAAGTGGCTTCCCATTGGCTTCAAGGGTGGTTTTCCACAACTGCATCGAGTTTGCAATGAACGCCCTTAGAGTCCTGTTGATATTGTACAACTGCAAGCAGTCCGTAATCCATGTGTGTGGCAGTCGTAGGCTTTCTTGTAATCAATCCAGGCAGTGCACAGGTTGGTCAGACAGGTTCTGCAGTCACTGGGTCACGGGTTCCGCGACTGTTCGGTCAACCAGGAGCTGTTGTTTGGCTGCCCTGGTGTTTTTGCCGATGCCCTTCTGTGTTGTGCTCATGTATTCATCCATGTGCCTGCTTATCTTAGCCACGGTGATGCATGACATGAGCTTCCATGTTGTGGAGAGACAGGGTATTGGCCGATAGTTGGATGGGACTGCACCCTTTGAGGGATCCTACAGGATCAGGATCGTATGCCCTTGGGTGAGTCATTCAGGGTGAGTCCCATCCGTCAGCAGCTGGTTCACTTGTGCTGCCAGGAGCTCATGGAGAACAGTGAGCTTCTTTAGCCAGTATGTGTGGATCATGTCAGGACCATGTCTGTATGTAGGAATGTCTGTAAACTGTTACAAATCAGTGTGAGAGAGCCACTGCAGCATGATTGAAGCAAGCAGAAAAAAAAAAAGATCCTTGATAAAACTGTTTAAAAAATGGGTTAAAACCCTAGGTGGGCCAGAGTTAAAATGAGGGGAGTTCATGATGCGACGCAGGGGGTCCGATCATTTGGTCACCTGATCCGTGTCCTGTGGTCCCTGCAGATATAACAGACCAAAACCTGCAAAAACACTATCTCCTGTCACTTCTGGCGGAGCTCCTCACTCTGCTGTTGTGTGGACTCAAGGCCGAATTATAGAGTCGACTTAACCCACACTCCCACGTTGCCTTGTCACCATCATTTTTGATTTATGGATCTGCGTCGAGGTCTATGCGTCGCAAAGTAATTCACCGCCACAACGCTAGGGGGCTAGGGTTTAAAAATGGCGTTTGTGCACACAACATTAGCCTTTTTATTTCTGGTGTCTTGCCGCCCTGCTCCAGGTGCGTTCATTTTCCAAGTCACTCATTGGCCCGAAAATGATCATGTGCATTGGAGGTTATACGATGGCACTGATGTGAGGCTTAAAAACATACAATAAAAACTCCACAGCAAACAAATAAAAACACCACATAAAAAACACCACATAAAAACATGCAAAATCTACATATCACATGAGTAACATGAGGAGGGTTCTACACTCCAGGTCACGGCTGCTATTTGCACACACATATACAAGTACATACAGAGCATGCATCATTTAGATACTTCGTTTACAACAGGGGGTGCCAAACATAAGGCCCGGGGGGCCAGATCCGGCCCTCCAAGACCTTTAATCTGGCCCTCAGATGATTTTATACTAAAATATTTTATTTCTATTAAAATATTTGTAATTTTCTGCAGTGCTTAGCATAGCAGCATCTCCAGCACCTCTGTACGTGGCCCCTCCCACCAGAGCAGCACAAATGAAGACTTGTCTCTTTCCAAACGCTCTTAAAGGACGATCGTTTTGACTGTTGACCGTGACACCCTCATCAGAAAAATGCCCAAAATGAGAAAAGTGGAGCCGAGTGCAGGATTTTACAAGAAAAACTGACTTATTCCTATTCATAATACTATAATATTTTGTAAAAGAAAGAATTCATCAATTAAAAAAGATTTCTGTAATAGATTTGTGTTTCTCTGCACAAATATTTGAACTTATTGTTATTTTTGGGGTTTATATGCCATGAGTTTTCTGATCCGGCTCCTTTGGGGTCAAAGTAGGTTGGATACGGCCCACGGACCAAAATGAGTTTGACACCCCTGGTTTATAAAATATGCCAACACCAGGGAAAGCTGTGGAGCCAACAGTGAATACTTACGCAGAGCTATGGCATTTGCATTTTCAGCACAATCACCATCAAAAACCTGGAATACCTGCATCACCTGCAAATACAAAACCATGTGAGCAAAAACATGAACATGAATGAACATTCACAAGACAAACAGCAGCTTAGGCCGCACGTAGAATTCTGCTTTAAATCTTATGAAATATTTACAGCCCAAGTGCAAATTGTGTAAAGTATTTATGGTGTATCTATTAAAAATAACTTACAGTGTAGTCTTTTATAGGAACTTTTATTTTAGAAGTTCAACATGCTCGTAGGCGTGTTTAGTTTTATTTTTAAGCGGAAGTGCCATGTTCGCAGTGCTGATGTCAACGGAAGTGCGCAGCTTCACGCGTGTTTAGGAAGTACCTCCTGAAGTACCTCCAGAAGTATCTACACGTGGGTACAGTGTACAGTGGTGTTTCTTCTCTGACCGATGACCGGCTCTTTTCCACGGTAGACGGGAGTTTTACCCGCGCGGGTGTTGGGACAGGAAAGAGACTTGTGCGCACATGTCCTGAGCCCCGGTGCGCAGGGATGGACACTGAGTTCCCCTCGGTGCTGTTCCCGTCCTTCTACAACAACGAGCCCCCGGAGAGCGAGCTGGGACACTGCGCTGGCTCCTGGGGCAGCTATGGCCAGCTCCGAATCCACGAAGGACAGGTAAAAACACTACTGTTCCAGAAAGTGCCAAACGTGAACCTAATGAAACCGCATCTGAAGTGGCGCATGCAGAAAAGTGTTTGAAGCGCACGGTTACAGCCTGTGTGCGTGGAATGAGGCGGGGGACATTAACAGTGAGTGCAGTGTGCTGGTTCTGACAGGATTCTGGATTTTTATGGCATGTACATGCGCTCACAGAAACCAGGATACTCGAGCCTTTATACTGGTTGCTATGGTAACTATGGTGCAGATATGGGAAGGAGCTAAACATGGAGAAACTTCAGGCTTAAGGCTTTTTAAGCGGTTTCTAAGAACAAAAAGCTCTGGAGCTCTGTCACAACTTCAGTAAAAGGCGTTTTTAAGAGTTGAAAAATACAACATAGTGTCACAGATTCAGTTTGGTTCAAGACTTTGGTTCAGACTGTTTTATTTTGTTCATAAGTATAAAATATTATTACTTAAAAAGTCCTGGTAGGAGTTGGATTCGTTTTGGAAAAGTAACTGCTCCTGCTGTATCTGTTACTGTAGTTTGCACATGCTCAGTACAGCACGAGTTTAGAGGAATCAGGATACTGCATTTACAGGCCACAGTATCCTTAATACTCCCTGAAAAACCCAGTGAGAGTCTGCTGGTTTCTCATCTCCGGGAAACTGGCATATCCAGGAGAGTGAAACCAGAATACTGCATTTACCTGGACAGCCACAAAACCAGGATACTCACAAACCTGATCATAAGCGGGATCCTCGAGCGCATGTATACACACTCAGTGATGATGTTTAAAATAATAGACTGACTGATTCATGACATGTGGTCCTCCATGAAGTGAAAGGTGCATTCCTGTGCAGTGTTGGGAAGGTTACTTTTCAAATGTATTCCTCTACAGATTACAGATTACATATCCCAAAATGTAGTTTGTAACATAATCCATTAAATTACTTTAGGTGAGTAATGTAATCTGAATACTTTGGATTACTTGATTTGCTGTAGAGAAGCAAAGACGAGGATATCGTAACATAAAATGTTTTATCTGCTAAAATAAAATGAAAAGCCCAAACTTTACTGAACCAAATTAAAAATATTATTGATAGAAGAGGAGGAGACACGTCCGCACAACATGATTTAGTCCTGTTAAATCCTGTTTTAGTCCTGGTTTAGTCCTTGTTTAGTCCTGGTTTAGTCTTGGTTTAGACCTGTTTTAGTCCTGGTTTAGACCTGGTTTAGATCTAGTTTAGCTCTAGTTTAGACCTGGTTTAGACCTGGTTTAGTCCTTGTTTAGTCCTGGTTTAGTCCAGGTTTATTCCTGCTTTAGACCTGGTTTAGACCTGGTGTAGATCTAGTTCAGATCTAGTTTAGGCCTGGTTTAGGCCTGGTTTTAGTCCTGGTTTAGACCTGGTTTTAGTCCTGGTTAAGATCTAGTTTAGATTTAGTCCTGGTTTAGACCTGGTTTAGTTTCCGGCAATGTGTGGAATTACTGAAAAAAAAAAAAAAAGGGGGATATAGCCCAAAATGTGAAAACAGGAAAACAGGAAAATACCGCCGTGTAATCCATTTATTTCAACAAAGTAACTGTAATCCAATTACCACTCACTGAAACAGTAACTGTAACCGAATACAGTTACTCATAATTTGTACCCTGATTATGTAACTCTAGTACATGTTACTCCCCAACACTGTTCCTGTGTCCCCACATTGTGATGAATAAAGTGTATTGCCCAAGTCACAATGTCCAACAACAATCCAACTTCATAGAACAGAAAGAAGAATATTATATGGTAAAAAGTTTAAAAAGTAAAAATTTATGTCTTCATGGAGATGCTGATTTATCTGAAAGCTCCACAGAATATCATGATTAGCTTTGTCCTTGGAGACAAGCAGGAGACGCCACTACACCAAGTACTAACAAGGCACGTATCCTCACTGAGTAAATGTAATATGGGCATTAGGGCTGGGTATCGTTAAGAAGTTGCCAATACGATACATACCTCGATACACAGGCCATGATACGATACATATCTCGATACAGTGCACTTTCGATTCGATATGATACATTTCAAATCGATTTGATACGGTTCAATACAAAATAAAGGCTAAATCTTGTCTGTGATACTAAAAGTCTTTGTTAAACCACTTCTTGTTCAAAGTTCATATGAAACAAACATTTTAATCATCAAAACTGTGAAAATGCCAAATGTGCTGCATAAATGAGCGTCCTTCCACTAAACAAGCAACAAAACTGTAGCTCTGTAACAAAATAATTTAGTAAAATATACCAAAAAATACTCTTAGCGATATATCGACACAGCAGCCCGCGATATTGATTCTGTATCATCAAATTAAATGATACTGTATATTGATATTTCAATATTTTTGCACACCCCTAACGACTAGGGCTGGGTATCGTTAAGAAGTTGCTGATACGATACATACCTCGATACAGTGAGCTTTCAGTTCAACACGATTTATTTCAAATCGATTTGATACAGTTCAATAAAAAATAAAGTCTAAATCATGTCTGTGATACTAAAAGTCTTTGTTAAACACTTCTTGTTCAAAGTTCATATGAAACACAAACATTTTAATCAACAAAACAGTGAAAATGCCAAATGTGCTGCATAAATGAGCATCCTTCCACTAAACAAGCAACAAAACTGTAGCGTTGTAACAAAATGATGCAGTAAAATATACCAAAAAATACTCTTGGCGATATATCGATACAGCAGTCTCCAATATCGATGCTGTATACGATATAATTGGTATTTCAATATTTTTGCACACCCCTAATGGGCATGTTTCTAGCTTTATCTGTAGCCATATCATATTGTGGAAACCTCTAGACAAAGCAATAATATTTTCATTAAACAAGGTGACAGGCCTTCCACCATAAAACTTATGTTAGTACACCTTGAACAATCTAAGTAATTTTCCCACAAAATTAAATGACCCCTGTTCATGAGACGTGTTGTGTTTGTCCCTCAGAGCTTTAGGACCCAGCACACAGCGGCCGGAGAGTCCTGGAGGCACACGGAGCCTGTGCCTGTGCCTCTGCTCGCCCCTAAGCCTGGTGAGTCACATAATCACCTCACAAACATCACCAAGACCAGGGGCGGGACTGTTCTCCAAATACTATCACCAGTAATGTCTCTTACTTCAGTCCCATACTGCAGCCTGTTTAGACATTTTTACTTCTGATTGCCTGTCTAGTGGCAAAGAGAGGAGAGAAACGCTGATGTTCTGATGATGAGGGGGGCAGAAGGAGGAGGTTGCTGGTGCTGATACACAGATACACACAAAGGGGCAGAGAGGCAGAACGAGCAGAGACTTTAGTCATAAAAATGATCAAAATGTATTAAAAAACACAAAACAAAAAGGTCTGAAAAGATATTCTTGTCTAATAGGCTATATGAAGCATATGGTGGAGACAATGTGATGGTGTCATGATGAGACGGATTTATAACAATGTACTTTGCCATGAAATATACAAAAACTATATTTACAAATGTTTAAACATAATTATTTCTATCACTACATGCATTAACTTATAATGTTACAACAAAATCTGCACTTTTAACAGTATTCATTTTTATTCTGCCACCATATGTAGGCCTGTCACAATAATTACTATATTGATTAATTGTTCAGTATATTAAAACTGGAACAATATCGTTTGGGCTCCACTTTTCAGTCTTCTTTGTGTCTCAGTCAGATCTGTGTCAGGGCAATCTGAGGAGAGGATGGGCCAGCCCAGTATACTGCCATTAACACTGTCAGTCATTGAAAGGTTCTGTTTGTTTAGCAAATTAACTGAAAAAGCAGTTTTAAGAATCAGGCTAAGAATGGAATTATGACAAAACAATACTGCCTCGCGCCTAATGAAGACAATCATGTTTTTATTTATTTTATGTATGATTGTTTGATTTTTAGCTTTATTTTGGTCTTCAAAACCTGCCGACCCTCTGGATTTCAGCAAACATGTAAGACCAAGTTCTATTTTTGAATTTGAAAAATGACCGGGCACACATGGTTACTGTTTTTGTAGTTGCAGAATTTTTTCATGGACCACCCCTCAGATGCCTTCAGCCCCATGGCCAGCATCCTGGGTGAAACCATGGACTTCAGTAGACGGCCTCATAAGGTAAGGCTCAGTCAGGTACGATTCGGTAACTGAGATAGTCATTACTTTTACATGCATGCTAGGAAAACTGGATAACTCTCCTCTTCCAATTTATAATTTACGATTTATATAAATTTGTGTAAATGAAGATAAGAACTAACCTGGGAACTATGATTGAGGTGTCGTAAATTGAATGTCAGAGATCCCAAACACACATTGATTTCACGTTGATACATACTGTGATACCCGCTGCGTGTGACAGTGCAGTACTGTTCACCAGAGCTGGGGACTTGCAAGTCGTGATTTGAGACTTGCAAAACAACAACTTGCACATGTAGCTTTGTTAGTTCCACTATGTTAAAGTGAAAACTACTGGAGTGTCAGTGTATATTTGTGTTGTGGAGAGCAAATAACTTCAAATTGAATGCATGTAAATGAGGTGTGGCTTCTGTATTTCTCTGTGGTTATGCTGTATGTATGATTTTTATCAGCAGTTACAGCTGTAAAATGTGAATGCTAATGTTAAATGAGTTGCTGAATGCTCCATAACCCCTATTCACACATGTTGTGTTCTTTGACCTGCTGTAGACTGGGACAGAGTTGCATTGTGTTGTTTAGCGCACTCTGATTTCCTCATGTATGTAACCATAGTGACAGTCTCATGTTTGTGTTTCAGAGAGCTCAGCAGACACAGGCTCCCATCAGCGTGTGGGGGGCGACTGACTACATGGACAAGCTCAAACCCCCTAAGTGAGTCTAGATCACATGTGCTGTTTCCTATAGCGCAAACAGCATTTTTACATTTCAATCAAACAGTTCATTGCTTATTGACAAACACAAAAAGACAAATTTCCTCTTCCTATCTGAGCTCTGTTCCAAACCACATACTTTTACTGCCAGGACTGGCTGTAGACATTTAAGCTTAAAAGTGCTGTACCTGATTTGTACTTTCTTAAAAACATGCAAAACAGAACTTGTTCTTTTTAAACAGTTTGCAGTGGTCCAAACTTATTCCTCACTTACCTAGCTTTTTAATTGGATGCAAGGCAGTACACAGCAGGCTTAAGAGCTGATTATACTCCCAAACTGCTTGTACAATTATATACAAGACAGTTCTGCTGAAATACAAGAGCACTGGCTATTTCAAATACACGGATTTGTAAAATTCATTAAATGCACACCTGGCAACAAAAAAAGAGAAAAAGTCGACCAGCTTCTGTCCTTCTGACTGCCTGGGACAGAGCTCCACCCCTCCTGGCTGTAACCCTGTGTCCTGCCCTCCAGCTGCCCCACGAGCCCCTGGAATGCCCGCATGGACGCGTACAGCCGCCTGCTCTCTGACGTGGTGCACTCTGTCCCGGTGGAGCTGCTGGGGTCCCTGGTGCACGAGGAGCTGAGCCAGCAGAGCAGAGACGCCCTGTTCTGTGAGACCAACAGTGGAGGGGCCCTGGACCTCATCCCCCTGACCCCCAGCACACAGCACACGCCTCTGTCGGGCTGTCTGGCCTACTCCCCCAATGGGCTGGACAAACTCCGTATCCTACACCTAACACAGTTAACATAACACAGTTTGGTGAGATAGTTCCTGTGGTCAATATTTGGTATATAGTTTACATCAGCGGTAGTTTGTGAAGAAGATCCGGGGGAAAATGTTCAGAATTACTAGAAGTTGAATGAATGCACAAATTTCTTCCAAACACAAGGACAACACCAAGCAACCAGTTTTTCAGACAGTTTAAAGAAATGACACATGTTGCCATATATTTTTTATTCAGAGTAACCTATTGCATAAATTAGACATGGTTACTTGATAACAGGAATTATCTTTATTGGTGTGATCCAGGCAACTGGTAACTGGGGTCTTTCAAACCTCAGACTTGTAAAAAATGCCCTGCTCAAACTGGTAATTCTCTTTTGTGAAGTGGGGAATGATGGGAGGACTCCTGCTTCACATACGAGTGAAACTGTGATGTTTTACAACAACATTATCACCACAAACAAGTGGATCTGAGATTAACCAGCCAACCACATGGAAACATTGAAGCAGGTTAAATCCCACAATATTCAGTTATTTAATAAGTCACAGACGTCTGTTTATTGTTTACATGCCTTCAGCCTTCGGTTTAGCATTAGGTCTGTTGTTTACATACTGTATGAGTTCATTGAGCTTGAATGCTCTGAGGTCAAAACTGGTAACACTGGGAACTAAACACTATAAATGCTTTGTGGACTTGAAGTTCTTGACACAGTTGTTCAGACTTCCAGGAGGTGGCGCTGGAGCCACATGCAGTGGTCTGTTCTGATGAAGTGAGCAGCTTCCTCCTCAAAGGCCCCATCCAGCAGATCACCTCCACATCTCTGTGTGGACACAGTAAGAGCAAATGATCATGCTTGCAGGGGGTGGGGGGGTGAGAGATTATGTTCTTCACTCCTAAAGCCTTTGTGTTCCTTTGGTATTTCTTGTGTGTGTTCCTCATACGTTCCTCATATGTTCCTCATGGTTCCTGTATGTTCCTCTTGTGTCAGGCTGTGTGGCGGTGCGCTCTCTGTACCACTGTGGCGTTTGGCGTTTGACCTCAGCTCAGCAGCCCTACCTGCTGCAGCCTCATCTGCTGCAGGCCCTGTCCACTACAGAGGCCCTGAGCTGCACCAGCCTCAGGTATGGCCTGGACACGCTGCTTTTATGCACACACTTGCATGAACATTTTTTGTGTTCTGGCTGGACAGGCAAACCCGCTGCAAGAATCTGAATTAGCAACATCTGGCTTTAACTAATCACAGTAGTGACGAGTGAATGTTCAGAAGAAAAATTGTACCTGGACTGTGATGAATCCAAGCGTGCTATTAATCTATTGCCAGATGGTACACTACAATGGCACTAGCTACATGCTGCACAGTCTTACAACCTGCTGTCATGTGTTCCAGTCCTCATGTTGTAGGAGAGCTGCTGGTGGCTGGGGAGAGTGGAGCGGCCCATCTGTGGAGGCTGGGACACGGGTAAGATCTGTGGCTCTCAGCCCTGCTCTGCTCCTGGTCTCCACAGCATCTCTGGAACATGTTTGTTTGGCAGGATGCAGCAGGTGCGCACAGAAGACTCCAACCTGTATTTCAACAGCCAGTCGTCATGGCGATGGTGCGAGTTCTCCGCCCACCCAAGAGTGATGCTGTATGCTGATAGGACGGGGGTGGAGCTCACAGACATCCGGGTGAGACAGGGCTGAACATGTGAGATCATGTACAGTCTACAGGGGCATTCTGTTAGTTACAGGTTAAAAGATCAAGATCAAGATCAAGTTCATTTAAAGTGGAACTAAACACTGAATCCATTTTTTTTATTTGCTACTTTTGCTTTTTTTCTACCGCTCATCTTTTGGCAATTTTAGTCCAAACAAGGTACATTTGCAACTTCCTGGTCAAAAATGACTAAATTAAGTGTGTGCTGCCTCTAGTAGACCCTGCAATTTCCAGTAGTTAATGACATCACACAGGTCTGCTCTGATTACAGACATGTGTTTCTGATATACAGGGTTCCCATGGTCATGGAAATCCTGGAAATGTCATTTTCCAGACCTAGAAAAGTCATGGAATTTTCACATCTCTTTCAAGGAACTACAGTGTTCTGTTAAGTTCTCATGAGACTGTTCAGATTATTTCTGAACATCTGCATCTTTTGTTTAAAAGAGACGAGAATAAATGCACTGAAAGGATTTTGAATGTTGAAAAACTCTAATATTATAATATAACTAGAAAAGCACTCAGAGAGCGCAGACAGATCCGGATCAGCCTTTGGAATATGAAAGAGGATCCCATGGTCCATCCCTGAGTCAAATTTCATGGGGTTTGGTCAATAATTAACTGAGATATTGAGAAACAAAATTTTTGGCCCCATTTACCACAATGTTAACTAAAATTTCAAAGTGATCCAGAATCCAGGATTTCTTCCGGATCACCCCCAAAATGAAATCAGTTCTTCCTTTTTACATTTCCAACAAATCCTGAAAATTTCATCAAAATCAGTGCATAAATTTTTGAGTTATGTTGCTAACAGACAAACAAACAAAAAGACAAATGCCGGCAAAAACATAACCTCCTTGGCTGAGGTAATAATCCACCCCTCCTCCCTCCTCACTCTTCCCTTTAGTCCTCCAGGTAGGTACCCAATTTATCAGCTCTGTTTGAAATATGGCTGTGGGCGGAGTTTAGGTGTTTAATCTCACTTTTAACAAGGTCCTTCTTTTATCATTTTTGTTGTGGGCAGTTCCAGTCCAGCCCACACTACCAATTCAAAGCCTCTGTCTGCCAACAGACCGGTACTTTCTGTGGTTCTCTGAAAAATGTAGCCTCCAGGTCACACACAGTGGTTTAAAATAGTAGTTTTTTTTTTTTCCAAATTAAGATCACATATGCTCTCAAATGCTCAGGTACTTGCAGTTGTATTGTTTTGTGGATATTTGAAGGTAACATGGATGCGTGTCCACACAGGTGCAGCCGTCCTCCTGCCACACCCTGTTCCGCATCAGTCAGACCGCAGAGTGTCGCAGTGGAGAGAGACTACTACTGTGCAGATACTTGAGCACAGTGCACAGCTTCCACCACCTCGTCTGCACACAGGTACTCCACCTGAACAGCTGCAAGTACACACATATACGTCTGCAGAGGTACGCTGATGAGCTGTAGGTACTCTTAACAGTGCATTATACCACCACTTTTGTGTTGTTTTTGTATTTGAGCTGTGTAAATATTTGATGGTGTTAAAATCAAACATAAAGTCATTTTTACACCAGTGTCTTTATTCAGTTCATTGTGGACTCTCTCTCAGCATATGTGTTCCAAATCTCCACAAGTGAGACTCACCAGTATGAATAGTAGTGTATTCAATCACTCCTTTTCAAATCATATGTTAAGACATGTAGGCTTTAATTAGTGCAAATTACCTCACATTTCACCAGTGAGTAAAAATGTCTCATATATGTAAGCTTTCTTGCTTCAGCTATGTTTTCTGGACCAAAATAAATGCACCTTTCATCTCAGTAGTATTTTCTTTTTCAGTTATGTTTAGCTGACTCACTGATGTCTAAATCACTACATTTACATTTCTCTGTAAACCTGAACAAACGTGGAACTATTTGGTGATTTGGTGAGTGAGCATGTAGCACCTGGGGCTGTTCTCTGGTGTTACACACACCTGTTTAGGGACCACCCACACCTCCCTCGCGGTGCAGGGGCCTTCTTAGCTCCTCTTCTTTGGGGCTTCAACATTTCAGAGGTCAGTCCCCTTCACTAGAACAAACTGAGTGTGAGGGCAAAGGGAAGGGAGAAGAAAACCATTTAGGAAGGCCCAGTGTTTCCCCCGTGTGTACTTGTGTAACCCTCTCCCTCTCTGGCAGTACTCGGCGTATATTATGGACGAGCGCTTCCCCTGCGTGCCCATGCTCAAGTGTGACCACATGATGGAGGCCCCGCCTGTGTTCTGCCAGGTCCTGCCCAGCTCCGATGCCTCCACTGGGGGAGTGACTAAGATCCTGCTGGGCTCCCAAAGGTCCCAGGAGGTGACCATGCTGCAGTACTCAGGTGGGTCCTGTGTGGTCAAGTCAGAAGCTCTAGAGCAGTGGTCCTGTGTCCTGTCTGGCTTTGTTTAGCATTTCAAAGCAGAGGCACATTGTTCTCATCAGCACAAGTGCAAACACAGACATGAAACTGAAGAAGTCACTTGGATGAAGGGTGAAACTTTTAAATAGAATTTATCCAACTTTGGCCAACTAAGGGATCGCCATGGATACTAATAGTTTATTGCCATGGAACATTCCAAACAAAACAATAATATCTCCATGGACCTTCAGAAAGGTTAAATAGTACACCTATAAAAGGGTTCCATATATAGACCACATATTGGTTTGAACCAGGAACCTATGTTCACAGAGGAAGTGAATGAAACCTGAAGACTGACTAATTCACTCCAGACTGAGAAATTGACTGTAGTTCCTACACCCGTTTGGTCCCTATGGAAATTTAGACCAGGTTCTGTATAAACGTTGCAGTTTTATCATTATTCTGGGAAAGGTATTTTATTAAATACATTTTAAACCTATAATGTAACATTAGTTACAAAATGTGGAGTTCTAAATAGACGAGCTGACTGCCTTCTAACTAATTATCTAAAATGTGGCTTACTAAAAATATGGACATAGGCTTATATTCTTTAATAGGCATTTTTCTTCATTACTTTAAGCCAGAACTTTGATGCAAGACACAATTTATTATTTTCTAAGATATAAACAGCCCACATGAGCAGCACATTAGGGAGAGCTGGTCTTATCCATGTGCACCTCTAGTCTTAGTCTGTGTCCTCTGTAGTCTTGCATTCACTCCAGCCTCGTAGGCTGTGAGAGTCTGACTCAGTTAAGAGAGAAGCCTGTAAGCCTGGCTTTGCGGAGCAAGCTTTCTGAATACCCTGGTAGTGACTGGCTTCTGTTTTCAGGAGGAGGGGCAGAGGCCTGTGTGAGCCATGGCCCTGTGCAGGCTCTGCTTAGGCCCAGGGACAGTGTGCAGCACCTGCCCACCCAACTCCCCCACCGGACAGAGGTGTCCCAGGATAGGCTGGCCCACGCTGCCTCAGGTACTACTACAACAAGCACACATTCTACACACATGACACAGGAACTGCTAAACAGCACACCAGGGAGGCCTGAAAGCCCTTAGTTTTTACATTTCAATGTATATCTACATAAACGTATGTCCTAAAAGTGATGTGAGAGCTTTTGTGCAGGGCTGGCCGCGGTCCACCTGAAGAGGAGTGAATCTTCAGAGAGTTTCTGTGTGTTCCACCTCCTGCAGACGGGAGATGTTTTCTACCAAATCCTGGAGAGGGACAGGTCAGCTGAGACCCGGGCTGATGTGAGCTGTACCAGAGCAGAGGAACCAGAGCAGCCTGAGCCAGAGCAGAGAGGACCTGCTGCAGAGCCACCGCTCAGCTCACACTCACTGTCCATCTGGAGACAGTGGCTGCAGAGATTAGCACGTAGACAGGAAGCTAAGAAGAGCAAACCTGCTCATGTGATGGTGAAAGGTGCACTAAGAATTCCCCAAAGCCAAAATGCAGACAGAGCCACTGGAAAGAGAGGGCAGCGGGGCGTGAGCAGGTCCATACAGCAGCAGTCGCTCTCTGCATACTCAGTCCCCACAGAGAACATAGTGCCACTACCAGAGGAGGTGCAGCCTGAGGAGTGGGGTGATAACCTGAGTGTGAGACTGACTGCTGCCTGGGACAGCGAGCAGGGCTGGCAGGCCTGGTGGAGCGAGCACCTGATGGTCAACAGAGCAGAGAAGACCCAGGCTCTGAGGAGGAAGCGCAGGCAGGAGAAGGACGCCAAGAGAGTCAGCGGCCTCACTCTGCTCTCCCTGTCCGGCAGTTTCACCTCCTCCATCAGTTACCAATCAGAGCTGAGCGATCTGAGTGACTGGGCGTGGTCAGACAGTAGAGGGATAGGCTCACAGTCTGAAGATTCACCAGGAGACAATTTGGAGAAACAGAGGCTGCCTGTAGCTGTAGCTGACCAGGTACGCCCCCTAGTGGAGACTCCGCCCACTAAGAGAAGAGTGCGGCACCAACAGTCCCAGGTAGGCTTCATTAGCCTCACTGTGTGCATGTGGACTGCAGCTCTAAACACAGAGCTACTGTTTTATCTCTCTTTTTGAATTCACTAAACACATCACACCTTTTCTAAAATGCTAAAAACCTTTTGGTAACATTTAAGTTAGTGTTATAGTCTATTAGGATCCTATCTGTCATGACATAACATGTAAACTGGCCTTTTGTGACTCCTGCCCATGTACCTGGCCCCATGTTTCGTTTTATTCTTGTTTCATTGGTAAAGTTGCAAGTGTCGTATTTTCACCTCTTCTCCTCCACTCCTAATTTTATGTTTTGCTTTGTGTTAGTCCATTTACAAAAGGCTTTAACAGTTCTATTGAAAAGTCCACTTCACCATTAAGATGAATACAAAGGTTTTTTTTGTATGTGTGATGCAGTCTGTTGTGTTCCAGAGCCCACAGCCCTCCACCTCTGAGCTGCACAGACCTGTGGAATCCAGCAAAGACTCCTCCAGAGATGCCTTCAGCTGGCCCCACACTTTCTCCCAGATCTCCTCCCAGCGCTCGCCTCACACCTCCTCACAGACCTCCTCCCAGCGCCCCCTCCACACCACCTCCCAGCACCCCCTCCACACCCTCTCCCAGACCTCCTCCCAGTGCCTGCCCCACACCTCCTCACAGACCTCCTCCCAGCGCCCCCTCCACACCACCTCCCAGGCCTCCTCCCAGCGCCTGCCCCACACCCCCTCCCAGACCTTCTCCCAGACCTTCTCCCAGACCTCACTGTCCTCACAGCCCAAGAAGAAGTCTCGCATGGGATTTTAGAGAGAAAAATCTGACAGTTTCACAATTGCACAGGAGGTGGTCAGCTGGACAATATTTATTAAAATGAAGACATTTCAGCTGTCCTCCAGAAACCGTGCCCTGACATGAGGCAGCCCAAATGTCTTTTTTCATTTTCATTTCCTATTATGCACTACTGCTGGATAAATGAAGAATTACTTTAATAAGTTTGGCAACCCTGAAACAGACAAAACAAATGTCTATTTTATATATATATGTATATATATGCACCTATATGTGGATTTTTTCAGGGGTCTCAGACTAAGATCAGTCACATCATAATAATGTAACTGCTGGATTTCTGAAACCAGTTTTCTTTTTGAAACATGTGACCTGAGCCCCTGGCAACTAGTGCTCCACCACGTGTCCTGATATACTTGGAGACATTTTTGATAAGACATTTTATTCAGTCTTAACACAGAATCAATAAATAACATCTACAAAATATTTTTACATCATTTACAGTTTTACACTTTTTTACAGTTTTTATATACATTACTTTGTCATTGCATAAGAGCCATTAAACATTCATTTTGCTACATTGTAAAGTGTGTTCTTCCAGTTCCTCAGTGAACACTGATGTCACAAGCAAAGCACCACTTATCTTTACCATTTCACATTTCAGGCACTAAAACTGTTCTCTTGTTTAGAGGTGAGGATTAACATCAAGTGTGAGTAACCGTCTTCATATTAAGCATTTTTAAGAATAGTTGACACAATACATTTTACGTGTACGGTAACAGTATTTTTATGGTACAATTTGACTACACATCCCACTAAGATTTTTTTTTCTTTTTTACTTGAAATAAACTCCTCTCCCCACCTCTGTTCACAACAATGCACAGTCCTCACTTCTGTGACAGGCTCAGAGGAACATGAAAATGCTCCGCTGTGTTTTTTTGAAAATTTCTGTTCTTTGCAGATAAAAAACAAGTTTGTCAGCGTAGAAATGCTGCATCACAGGCCCCTCCTCTCAGCTCAGAGACTCCTCACCAGAGCAGATAGACTCCTCCCCAGAGCTGAGCGTGTCTGAATCCTCACTGTAGGACACACACACATTTGTTAAAGGAGAAACAATAACACCATCTGCAGACTAAGAAAGAAATGCACAAATCAAACTGATCACGTACACAATCCCCATAGACCAACTATAGGCTGTAATATCATCTTAAACTACTTCACAATAGGGACTGAGGCAGAGGGCTGACCTGCTGTGGTCCCAGGCGCTCTCGGGGATGGTGGGCAGTTCTGGGACAGTGCGGGAGGAGTGCAGGTTGTGTGCGGTGCGGCGGGAGATGACCCACTGCAGCCTCCTGTGGTCTGGTTTGGTGCACTGAGCAGAGGCGTACACAGACAGGCACCGGGCCACCCGCTCGCCCCAGCACCCCAGCTCAGACTCACGGATCTGAAACACAGACAAGCATGAGGATGAGGAAACCAGGAGGAGAGGAGCAGGCTTCTTTCAATGACATTTAAAACTGAAAAACAATAAGCAGTTAGCAGTAGTCCAAAGTTATTCCTCACATTCCTTATGTGGTCTGAGTTCAGTTTATAAGCGCTTTTCACAACTCCTATAGATAAGCGATTTTATCCTTCACACATTTTATTCTTCTTGCTGTGGCCCCCTTTTAACACGAAGATCCTCCAATAATTATTTGCATTCTATTCAAACAGAGTCAAGAATCAGTCGAAGTGTGTTTTTTGGCTGAACAAGTACATTTTCAGTTTCCAACTGATAGAGTTTTAATGCTAACTCTGGAACTGTCCTGTTCAAATGAGTGGAGTGCACCTGTCCTCTGTGTGTTTGTATTCAGTGCAGAGACATCTTCAATCAAAACATATACTCTTAAAGCGGTTACCTTGAGGTGTCTCTGGATTTGAGTGGCCACTTCCAGCATGTCGTCTGATTGGATGGTTTGGACCTCGTGGATGAGCAGGGACAGAGCGAGGACAGAGGGCTGGACAGAGGAGGCAGGGTCAGACATACACTTGCATGTGCACACACACATACATATGCAGACACACACACGCACATACAGTATGTCCATGTCACATGCACACTCAGGAGCTTACCTTGGCTCTGGAGAAGGACAGCCGGCACAGGCAGGCTTTGAGCTGTGCCTCAAGCTTTTCCAGGCTCAAAATGTCTCTTCTGAAAAACAAAATTGTATCAGTCTCATGTATTATTTCAAAGAAATGATGAGGGAATATGATCTATAGCAAAAGGTTGGTTACTAAACTTAGCCTTACTCTGCTCTAGTGCATTCTGAGCCTGACCTGTGCGTGCAGTGTGCCAGGGCGATTTGGTGGTACAGTTGGAGGAAGGTGGCAGCGGTCACGGCAGGGCGCTGGAGCTGGAGTTTGCCCACGATGATGGCCTCCATGCGACTGAGGTCGGATGAGGTGAAGCCCGACTGGCTGATGCGGATAAGCTCCTCCCCCGGGGTCACGTCACACTGCTGCTCGCATGCTTTGGCCGCCAGGTGCAGGCAGCCAAGGCTCACACATGACAGGTGCTTGGGTCGTACCTGCCACAACGACAGAAAACCTGGCTCCATGAGTTAAAGTTTCTATATTTGTGGCCCAAATTTTTTTTATTTATTTTATAATTTGAGAATCGTGTCTACTTAGACTAAATATTGGGATATGCTCTCCTTCACATATGCTGATGAGTGAGGACTTTACTAATAATAAAACTAGAAACTGGCTACAGATGGCAGTGTGTACAAAATACTGTTGATGGGCCATTACAAAATAATTGTGTCAACCTGAACAACCTACACACATCATTTACAAGTGAAAATCAGAGTTAGATATTTTTCCAAAACAGTTCCACCCTTGTATCTGACACCCCTGATTGGGTCTTTACCAACTACTACAACAGGAACCTGCCAATGGGGGCTGCAGATGGAAATAATAACCCACAGAGAACTAATCTCACACTTGCATGGAAAGTTTTCATTAAGTCTAGAATTCAATAACAAGAATTCAAACCGTGATCTGATCTGGTCAGGATTATTCAACCTGATTACACAGGCACTAAATGTGAGTAGCCTACTCCGCCCTTAGCAAAATGTAGAACAGTGCCCTACCCGGATCATGGCCAGGAATCTGTCCAGCAGGTTCACGGCCAGGACGAATGTCTGTGTGCTGTAACCGAAGAAGCGGGTCAGACTCAGCAGGTCCTCCACTCTGCTGTCCCTGCTTTTGGCTGAGACCCCCGCGCTGTCCTGGAGGAGGGGGCGTTACATAAGGAGTTAGAAATACAACGGCAAAACAGATAGAACTGACTCCAAAAAGCCCTGCTTTATTGATCTGGCATTTTATCAGAGGTGAAGTAAACATCCTGATATATCTGTACGTGTGTGTTTGCTTTTGTCTATCAGTAGTAACAATTTGTACTCCACTTAAGGAGATGTCAGAATGCTCTGTCCTATATAGTTGCACAGTACAAAAACATGGAGTCTCTGTAATCTTAAAGAATAGAGACTAACTATTTTAAATGAAGATGATGATGACCATGTTCTGAATAAAGCAGTGCACTTTGTAACTACTTAGGCAAATGTCATGTTTCAGTACAAGCAACAGCAGTAGGAGAAGGGGTAGTAGTAGCAGTAGTAGTTGTAGTAGCAGCAGCAATAATAGTAGTGGTGGTGTTAACAGTAGCGGTAGTGGTAGAAGAAGTTGGTAGCAGTAGCGAGTAGTAGTAGTCGTGGTAAAAGTATCTGGTGACTGTAGCAGCACTAGCAGTAGCCATCACATTGCATTCTCACTCAGAGGTTGTGTGCCCTCACCTGAGTGGCCTCAATGAAGTTAAGCCCCGCCTCTTTGGGCAGGTAGAGCTCTTCCTGGTCATAGGTGGCCTTGAGCTCCTTCAGCAGTCTGACCGGGTCCATGTCTGCAGGGAAGGGCACAGGGTCAGTGTGCAAGTGGACATGCACGCAGAGGGTTAGGGTGTAAGTCTGACCTGTGTGTGCAGTGTGCTAGAGTGTGAGTCTGACCTGTGTGTGCAGTGTGCTAGAGTGTGAGTCTGACCTGTGTGTGCAGTGTGCTAGTGTGAGTCTGACCTGTGTGTGTGCAGTGTGCTAGTGTGAGTCTGACCTGTGTGTGCAGTGTGCTAGAGTGTGAGTCTGACCTGTGTGTGTGCAGTGTGCTAGTGTGAGTCTGACCTGTGTGTGCAGTGTGCTAGAGTGTGAGTCCGACCTGTGTGTGTGCAGTGTGCTAGTGTGAGTATGACCTGTGTGTGCAGTTAGTGTGTCCCGTAGGCACTGAGCTGGGTCTGGAGATGTTTTAACAACGTTATTTACACTGTATTTAATTTGTTGAACATTTAGAACCATGCAGGTTAATGCAATGAGATTAAATAATAATATACAGTATAACAAAACCAAATCTGAAATTATTTGCAGCTGAACATTATCCTCAGCTCGTCTAATATGACAAAAATGTCCCTCACAATACCAAACCATCGAGTTACACGTGAACACACTATTTAGAAAAAACAAACAAAAAAACGCAAGAATCCTGAGTGGGCGGGTCTACAGTGGAGGCCTGAGGAGGCCAGCGTCAGAAATGGGAGCCGCCCCTGAACAGCCCGTAGCCCACTTCTGCTCCTCCGCCAGGGTCTGTGGATCAGCTGGTTTCGGTGTCAGCTTTCCCTGCTCCCCTCCCTACACACGGTACAGCTGTACTGCCCTGCTCGCAAATTTGGGTTTATTATCATGCAGCAGCTCGTTACACAACCCGTAATATCTCCATCCCCGCGTATGTGCACATTCAGTCGCGTTGGAGCAGTTTTTGCTGCGGTTTAAATCCTATGCTCAAACACAATGGGGGAGGGGTACTACGTAGTAAACACACAATCAAATAAACGGTGTTGGATAAATGAGCAACAGTCAAAATAACACTGGAAGCACACTCAATGTGTGTGCTATTTTCAGCACGCCCATCTGGAGGTTTTAATGCGTTTTTATGCTTAATTTGGATTCTATTGCAAATGCTGCGGACAAACCAACCAACAAATAGACATTTATCCAGTCTAACATTTGGATTAGTACATTCTCTGAATGGAATTTGGACATTCAAGGAAAAAATCAAAACAATAAAACAAAACTGGATAACTGCAATGTTGATTTTTAGAATTTTTTTGCAAAACGCTGTCATTTCCAGAATACGAAAAGTTGAGGCTAAAACCATACAGATGCATTAAGTTAAATGATCGAAAATGAAACAATATGCGTCTAACCAAGCAGAACTCGGTGGATAAGGAACTATTAATAACAACAATGCGACCAGCTGTGCGTTTTACGTCCCCGTTACCGATCTAAAACACCGGCTTAAATCAGATCCAAGTAAATGGACAGGTACATTGTTTTTAGTGTAAATCTAAAGCTCAGGAGAAGCTCAGATCGCGACTTACCGTGTTTGTTGCGGGTTAAATGCACATAACTGTCGCCTCCTTCAGCTGTTTCTTTTCCCTTTTGTTGACATCACGCACCTCACGTACACGCAGCACGTACGAGGGAAACAGCCAATCAGAGCGCGACGATCTAAGCCAGCCCCACCCCCTCCCCCCGTCGCAAAAAAACAAAAATGGCGCATATTTCAGGTTTAAAAGCGGGGAAATGTTCAATTATCGGGTCAAGACGACGGACTAAAGATGTAAATAGTATGGGGTTGTGGCTACGCCGCGTCACACTCTCACAAAGCCCGAAGAGAAGGTTCAAATAGGTGTGCCTCAAGAAGGCTGTCCCGGTGACAGCAGGCAGCCAATCAGGAGTGAGAGATTCTGGTTCTTCAAATAGTCCGCCCAAAATGAGAGCTTCTGATTGGTCTAGACGTATGAGCCTTATTTAGACAGGAAAACACAGACAGAAACAAGCTCTACGGCAGGGGTCTCCAACCGTTTTCCTTCACTGAGCTACCTTTACAAAACAAACATTTTAGAGAGCTACAAATTTTAGTGGTCTCAAGAAATTGAGCGTATATAACAACCATGATAAGCCTTAGATGGGGAACAAGTTAGATCTCTATAAAACAGAAACAATTTTCCATTTGATAGTGCACAGACCCAGGCATCTAAATGTTACATTTACAATGGGACATAATTCAGTTTTGCTTGTTCAAGTAAATTTAAGAGAGTACTACCCACCTCTATGGCTAACTGGAGTTTACAGGAGCTTTTCAGTATGATAATCATTGGTCCCCCTCCACAGATCACATAAAATCTATACGACATTAGTATACATGTAAGTGTCTCAATGTCCAACCTTAACCTCAAGATGACGTATGACCTGTGATGTGTTGCCTCATCATTTGCTTACTCACACTGTATTTTTTTTCAAGTGATTCACACATGTTTGAGTAATCCTGGTTTGTCCTGCAAGACTTAAGAATTTTCAGCTGCCCCCTCTCCACAGCTTTGTTCTCGCATTAATCAAATCAGAGACATACAGTTGCACATGCAAGTAAGGTTAAGGCTCTCATTTGTCACATTTGTATTTAAACATAGCCAGTAGGGGTGAGACAAAGGCAAGATGACATATTGGCAGCATTAAAAATTTATACATTGTGAAATTCCGTTTAATATTTTTGCACACATTGTACACTTCTTTTTGGAACTACAGCTACAGTTAACCCTTTTTATTGCCCAAGCGATTAGTAAACATATCTCAAAACATGTCACAAGATAATTTTCCTCATGTCTGCAAAATCTTGTGGCACCGGATCTTGTCCCATCCCTAATAGTGTAACATCAAAGCAATAAAAGCAATATTATATTTTTGATGTAAGCTTACTTCCCCCCTACAATATGACAAACATAGAGGACAAGGGGGACATTGCACAGAGCTGAAGATCTAGACCAGGGATGCCAAACTCAAATTCACAGAGGGCCAAAATTAAAAATTAGGACTAAGTTGTGGGCCAAACTAAATATTTATTAAAACATTTCCACATCAGCATGTTTTCTCTTCTTCTGAGATATGTAATGTTAAACCTTTTCTTATTAAAATAAATGTTTAATAATAGTTTTGCTTAACATCCATATTAATAATATTTTTGCTTAAACATAAACAATCCAGAACAAGCATAAAATGAAAAGATAACAGCAATTTAAATAAATAATGTCTCTATAGTCGATCTGTAGCTGGCAGACAGCTTGAATACATATTTGATATGATCTCACGGGCCAAATATAATTATACTGCGGGCCAAATTTGGCCCCCGGGCCTGAGTTTGACATGTCTGATCTAGACAGACTAATAAAAAGGGTTACTCAAACATGTGTGAATGAAACAAAACACAACTCCAGGTATTTCTGAGGAGGTAGCAGCATTCTAACATGGGTAAAAGCTTGCATGAGTTAATTTTGCGTAATACAGAACCGTTTAGAATGAGACCAGGTTTGAAGAAATGTATCGACAATTAATATTCTGTTCAACTGATTTCTCTTTTTTCAGAATAGGCAGCAATTGCTCAAAATTATGATGATTATTCATTGACAGATTCATGACGATAAATGAAAAAAAGTATAGAAAAATAAAATCAAAAAATCATGCTTAGGGATAATGCCCAATTCACACCAAAGTGCAACAGCGAGTTAGGGCAGCAGCACAGCACACGAGCAGCAGGTTTAGCTTTCCATTTTAACTAAAGGAGCATCTCCAAGGTTTTTAGCAGGGGAAAGACAGGAAATAAACACGGGGTGTCAAAATAAACTTCCGATGCCCTTTCAAAATAAGTCAACTAAAGTCAAGACAATGACGTAAACAACGCGCGCTGCATTCAAGGCATAGTCCCACACAGGGTCGGTTACCCATGGGTCCACCAGGTCTACACAAGGACTAATCTTGGACTTAAGAGAGAGAGAACCCTGAGCACACGGAGCAAGGTATCCATAAAGCGCGCTCGGGCGACAGCTGCGCTTACCTCCTTATCATTATCTTTATCTCCTGTGGTCACCCGACGGTCTACACGGGCGCATCTCCGAGCCCATCCTGACAGTGAGTACTAGTTCAGTTCTGGTTTAGTCCTAGTTCAGTCCTGGGTTCAGTCCATGGTGTGTTTCTTCTGCTCAGTAAATAAAGCCTGTGAAGTGATGACAGTAAAGTCGCGTCTGTGAATTCGTAATCGCAATGAAGAAAGCGTAAACATTTAATTTCATTTTGTGATTGTAATTCTTGAGGTCGTAAATTTTCATTTCATATTCTGATGGATGGTTCAGTTAAAATGCTTTTAATCTGTGTGTGATTTATCACGGGCATGGGCGGGTAACAGGCAGAATGTTAATGGGTTCGGGTGGATGCGGGTTTAAGTTTAATTAAATCATAGGTTAACGGGCGGGTGCGGTGCTGTAGTGCGTGGGTGTGGGCGGGTGTGGGCCTCCAAAAATCGACTCCTGCAGGACTCTGGTACATACCCATGTTAAGAACAAGAAGCAAGTACAAAAGGTGATGTCTGAAAATGGCGAGAAGATGTGCAGGCTGGCGTGAATTGAAACTTTTAAATTTACACGCGCACGCAGCTCCACCTATGTTATGCGCTGCTGTAGCTCCGGGTAAGACATCTTGTGTCATTTTGAACAAGAGAGATCTTGTGGCGTATAGAATATGCATCTCCAGTAGAATCATGTCCCTCTCACACACATGCAGAACAATACTCACAGCCGGTCCAGGAGAAGCCCCCAGTGTGCTCTCTGCAGCATGTTCACACTGTTCACAAAGACAGACACATGACATTAGAGACAGGGCTCCAGAGTTAAGCAAAAGCCAGCCCCCAAAATATAAAACATAATCAAACTTATCGCAAAGTAGTACACAGTGGGCATAGGCCAGGGGTCTCCAGCCTGAAGCTCTCCACTCCTTTCCAAGCAGCTCGCTAAGGGATTTCTGAATTCTATGTATTGTGGATAATAACACAATTTTGATTAATTACCATTGTAAATGTATCATTTTGAGGCCTAACTTTGTGCACCAATAAATGAATAATGGTTTATGTTTTATAGGCATCTAACTGTTCTCCATCTAAGGCTGGCCGTGGCTTGTATATTTACTAATTTCTTTGCACCTGCTGGTAGCTCTCTGGCATTTTCATTGTGTAAAGGTAGCCCTCTGGAAACCCCTGGCATAGGCCATACACAGCAAACATAGAGGCATATACAGCCAGGGCATAGGGCCTCTACGCCGTATACAGCACAGTATAGAGCTGTACAAACTAAGCAACTCTCCTGTCAATCATGCCCTCTGACGCACTCGTCTGTAAAGTTTTGTCAAAGTGTGTGCTTCTACCTGGACAGGTCAGCCTGTCACACACATGTCTAATTCAATAGTACTGCAGTGGTACTTCATTCTTTATACAAACCATTTATAACTGGGACATTTTAAAGCAGAGTGATGTGACTAAATGCATTCAATTTATTTCAGCTTATTGTAAACAAATAGTTTATGTTCATGAATCATGACATTAATATTGAAAACCATGTGAACTTATAATAATTGCCATTTAACATTAACTCATCAAATGTGTTCTTTTTAACTGACAGAAGATTGGCTGTATGGACCTCTTGTCCTCTCCATTAAAAAAGATTCAAGTTGATTGAGAATTATTTAGAACTAACTCAGTCTCAATGTGTGGAAGCATTTTAGTCTATAGACCCTCCCTCCCCTGTTCTCTGCCTCTACAGGTCATTTGTCTTTTATTTAGAGCATTACGTCTTTACCGTTTCTGGCTGTCAAGGCATCTGATATCTTGGTTCCTGTCCAGATCTCTCCTGTGCTGTAGTGAAGACTGAAGCACATCAGGACTAGAGGCCTCAGATGTCCATGACATGTCCAGGTCCACAGCAGATGTCTACAGCGTCATGAGGTCCTCTCCTGCTGTAGGACATGATCAGTCTTCTTTTCCTCTTAAAGACACTGATTCCGCTCTCAGGTGGTCACTTTTCTTTGCACACAGCTGCATTGTAGATTTCTTTGAGCAGACCAGACAGCAGACGCCTTCTCCTGTCCCACCATGAGGCTGACACTGCAGCAGATGCGCCATGTGTAGTCCTGTCCCTGTCCCCGCCGCGTGTCCTGTCAATATGGTCCTGTTACTGCACATTTATGCGTTCTTTCTTTTTCATTTACGCCTTCAAAAAGTCAGTAAATTGTTCCCGGGGTTTCCGCACATGTTGCCTTAATTCCGCTCGAAGTCGAGTCCACTTCTGTCCTCGCGGCTCAGACACATGCCACACTCTCTCATCCGCCATCTTGGGTCTGTTGTTTGGGAAGTGACGTCACGCCGAGCCTGTGCACCGGATGTGAGTGATCAGCTGACTGCCGTGCTCCTGTCGGTCCTGTCCTGTTCGGTTCTGCTCTAAAGGAACAGGACATTATCTGATCAGAACCCCCGGACCCGGCTCCGTGAGGACGGGTTTGTCTCTGAGCGCGCGGTCCAAAACTATGTCCCATTAAGCCTCTGATCACGGTGAGAATCTGTCCTTTGGTTTGTACTGGAGCTGGAGCTGCGAAGCTAACGCTGATGCGACACAGTTCATTCTGTTTGTGCATCTGCGGTTTGCCGTGTGTGCTGTCGGGCCGTACGCTGTATGTGTGTCTCTGTCCTCTTATACTCTATAAACATGTTTATATATATATATATATGTATGTATCTTTAGGCGGATGGTCTTACACTGAAACAGTTCTGTGAGATGTTGTCTGTAGTTCTCGTTTAAGCCCAGGCCGTGTCGTGTCTCCAGCTCTCGCCTGATTGGAGATGTCGGGGAACAACCTTGTGCTTCCCATCGTGCTGTGGGGGCGCACGGCGCCTACACACTGCATCAGCAGCCTGCTGGTGCTGGACGACTGCAGTGCGGTCATCACAGGCTGCCACGATGGACAGATCTGCCTGTGGGACATGACCCCCGAGCTGCAGGTGCAGTCCCTGTGTCCCGTGGGCATCACAGATGTCCAACTCTTGTGTGTGGAAATGTTCCATGATGAAAGAGCTCAGGCTCTGATAGTGACTCTGCTCATCTCTGCAGATGTGTCCCAGAGCCATGCTGTTTGGACACACTTCGTCCATCACCTGCTTGGCCAAAGCCAGCACCTGTGCGGACAAGCAGTACATCGTGAGCGCCTCAGAGAACGGGTCAGTGTCTGACAGGATATGTCAGGGTCAGTGTACACCTGTGTGACAGGCTCTGGCAGGGTCATTATTAATAGGTTGAAGTACAGTAACTATTTACAAATATTATTGATGATGTTGATTGGTTTTGCTGCTGTGCAGAGAGATGTGCCTGTGGGACGTGAATGACGGCAGGTGCATCGAATTCACTAAACTGGCCTGTGCCCACACAGACATTCAGGTACCACATGTATCATTAAACTAAATGACATCAGCTGACAGCTGACTGACAGGGATGTGTCCTGCCACAGTGTCTCAAGTTGTACCCCCTCTTGTCCCAGTTTTACCAGTTTACCATCGGGACGCAGAAGGAGGGCCGGCTGCTGTGTAATGGGCACTACCCAGAGATCCTGGTGCTGGATGCCACCAGCCTGGAGGTGCTCTACTCCCTGGTGTCTAAGATCTCCCCCGACTGGATCAGCGCCATGAGCATCATTCGCTCCCACCGCACACAGGGTGAGACCCCCAGTAAGACACAAGAAGGAGCTGTTTTACAAAATAAAATCTGCTTTTTAACAATATTCATTTTCACTGCCCCCATCTATATGAATTATTATATATCTATAGAATGTTGTGAAGTCATCTGAAACCCAGCAACAGGGAAGAAAATCTACAAATGGATTTCTGAAAGAAACACACAAATCTTTTACCTTATCATTTTTTCAGAGTAGGGCATTAGGGAATTACTTTCTGAAGCTATTATGAAAATATAGTTTCACTTTTGTTCCTTTGTGCTGACAGAGAAGATGTTGATCTTGGTATCAGTTTTTTGTTTCATATGGATAGGCCCAGTAGATACAGAGATATGATGTGTTCTGGTGATGTACTGCTGCTGTGCTCCTCAGAGGATACTGTGGTGGCTGTGTCGGTGACAGGGATCCTAAAGGTGTGGATCATCACAGCGGAGGTCAGCAGGATGCAGGTAAATGTCTGTTGTGTCTTTTAAACCTATGGCTCACTGGTTGTTGAATTAGGGTTAGAGTGCTGGGTAATAAAGTTTCCCACTGCTGATGGCTGTCAGTTTTCCTGGGGTGGGTTACCATGGTGATAGACTACACAACCCTGAATGCTATGGGATGATGAAGAAAGTGCATATTAATAGCACATTTTCAGGAGCCTGTGATCAATAGGAGGGTTCATGGTCCTGTTTGAACTGATGGCTTATGCTCACCTGTTGTATTTCCAATTCAGATTATTTATCATCAGATTGTGTTAAAAGCTTAAAATAAAGTCTAACTTGAGAGGTGCAGACAGAGCTGTGCCTCTCATTAGCTTAACCTCCAAACAACATGGATGACATCACGTGAAGGGTATCAGTGGTGCTAAAAAGATACGATCACAGATTGTTATTGTTTTGCTTGGAATTGCATTAAATCTATTTTGCATTTATTAAACTACAGGTGTTTTCATTACTGGTCTGGACCTAGGTCTGACCCTGGTCTGACTCCAGCCTGACCCTCATCTTGTTTGTGCTCAGGACCTGGACCCAGTGTTTGAGGAGGAGTCCAGACCCATTCACGTCCAGAGCTGTCAGAGCATCTCCTTCTGTAACTTCACTCAGAACAGTCTGCTGGTGGTGTGCTCCAAGTACTGGAGGGTGAGTCCTACAGGCCAGAGGGGGCAGCAGTCTGTCTTCTTGTAGGGATGTTACTGACAAGAAGTGTAATGTTGCTTTAAAGGAATAATATGCAAGATTTTATTTGTAAATCTCATAAACATGAACTATGTGTCCCCAGAAGTAAACATGTTCAGATCAAATGTTTAAAATCTTAAATTTTACGGTTAATAATTGTAAAGCTGGTTTATTCTTATTCTTCATTACAAAAGTGTCTAATGTGTGTGTGTGTGTGTGTGCGTGCGTATGTGCGTGCATGTGTGTGTGTGTGTGGTGCAGGTGCTGGATGCGGCCGACTACTCCCTGCTCTGCTCTGTGCCCTGTGAGACTGAGCAGTCCTGGACCGGAGGAGATTTCATCTCTGCAGACAAAGTCATTGTGTGGACGGAGGACGGCTGCAGCTACATCTACAAGCTGCCCCCCAGGTCTGATCCACCTGCTTTAAGTCATTTGGTATTTGTGTTACTTTCTCAGACTTGGACTTAGAGTAATTTTTATTGAAGCGCAAGTGAAATTACTTGGACACAATAGCTAACACATTACAGTATAATAACAAAGAGAAAAAATGGATGGTAAGTAATAAAATTCAAATAGTTAAGCAAATAGCAAAATGCTTGTGTTGGATAAGGCACTAATATATCGTTTTATTGCCTGAGATCCAGAATATACACTTCTTCAATAATTTACAAAGATGTGAGTCTGATCACTGGTCAGTCTCCTCCAGCTCAGATGGGTATGATTGACAGGTGGATTAGCCAATCAGGGACACGCATGGTTTGTCAGTACCAAAACATATATGAGTGTGAGAGTGTTGACCAGGCTGATATCAATCTGTATCAAAAAGGCAAACAGATATATAAGTAGTATATTAAGTATAGTAGTACATAGTAAATGTAAATGATGGACTGCTGAGTGTGTTGAGTGTGCGAGTGAGTGTCTGGTGCAGAGCAGTTTGTTTCTACAGGGAACATACGTGATAGTTGAGGGGTTTTGCTCAAGCATGGTACTCTTATTATCGTGGAACAAAACTGGATTTGACCATTCAAAATATTGCTGAAAGAAGCTTAACCTTGATTTTTTAAGATTTTAAAGATGATTTATAATGTTGTATCCCCATCAAAAATCCAGAGTTGTGTGTTTTGTTTCATTCACACAAATCCTTCATGTTTAGGCTGAGAACAAAAGCTGTTAACTGGAAAACTACCGCTTCATGACATCACAAGGTGGAACAGAGCATTTTGAACTTTAGAGATGTAAACAGACAAATAAGGGTTACCCAAACATGTGTGAATAAAACAAAACACAACTCTTGGTTTGTTTTTGAGGAGGAAACAGCTTTACAACATTGCTAAAAGATCACAAGAGTCAATTTTGTATAATATAGGAACTGTCTAATTTTTCTACTGGACTGCTGCTAGTTTATATTTTTAAATAATAGAATAATCACAATTCCATCACAAATCTTAATACAAATTGGGGTTGCATGTTCCTGAAAGTGTCCCTGCTCATACCTGCAGCTGCCTGTCTGCCAGTGAACATTTCCGCAGTGACGTGGGGAAGACCAAGGAGGGCGCTGTCCCCCCTCTTATCTTCAAGATCGCGGAGCAGCCTGACAAGAAGGTGAGTGTCCACTCTTCCTCCTCCTCTTCCTCCTTCTCTTCCTTTTAACTCTCAGACAGCAGATAGAGTAAAGCTCAAACCATTTCCATGACAAACCTCCACCATACACACTAACCCCCTGTTTACACTATTACACACATGTAAATTCATACTCTTATATTTTAAAATAACTTTTCACAATAGACATTGACAATATGTGTAATCTGTATATATTCTACAATCTATATTGTCACTAAAATTTGACTTTCTAAAATAACCACAATTAAGTCTCCCCTGATGTAGTAGTAGTACTTAGAGCAGAGAACTGTCCCCATAGGCAGAGGACTGTCCCCATAGGCAGAGGACTGTCCCCATAGGCAGAGGACTGTCCCCATAGGCAGAGGACTGTCCCCATAGGCAGAGGACTGTCCCCATAGGCAGAGGACTGTCCCCATAGGCAGAGGACTGTCCCCATAGGCAGAGGACTGTCCCCATAGACAGAAGATGCACACAGCTGCTGTTAACATGCTGGATTATATTCTTTTTACTGACAATCATTTGAGTCAGGATTAAAAGCACACTTATTTGTGAAGACTTGTGTTCTGAGAGGAACCTGTGTGAGCCGTGAGTGTTGCAAATGTGTTGATTTTGGAGATACTTTTGGTTCTTTCTCACTGGTTAGTGATTAGCTGCTGTAGTTTCCACACATAAACAGCCTGTTTTCTTACATCAGCCTAGTGACTGTAGTTGCTGTACACATGTACACATGCATTGATGTGTAAATAAGATGTGCTCATTTTAAAGTGCTCAGCAGATGTTTCTGTTTATCACAGTAAAATTCTATACAATGTTCCGCCCACAAGCCTACGTCCATGCTTGTGCACGGCCATTTATCATAAATATACAAAGGTAGGATACAAAACATTACACCACAACTTCACAAACCTGACACGATGTGCAGTAGTTTCATTAGCAGTATGCACACTCATTGTGTTGTGATGTCAGTCTGAAGGTGGAGTGACTAAGCGCAGAGAGCTAGCTAGACAGAGACTCTGCATCAAAAACAAAACTTAAGCTTATAAAGCACATTACTATGTTGTTTTTGGTGAATATAGCATCTTCAAAAGGTAAAATGGTGATCTAAATATGTTATATGTTAGCAGTGAAGTGAAATTGCTCATTTGTAAAGTTAATTCTTTGAATTAAAATGCAGGGACAGTTTATATGGAGGGACTGGGTTAGTACTAACTAGGAATGCAACAATATTCGATAATATCAGAACGTTCGATCCTGATCTCACGATTCGATACAGGTGTTTGGCACGTGTCCCAACGTGCAATCCAGCAAGAAAACGGATCCATAGGGATTATCTTCTTGGGTTCTTTTTAAAGACAATGCAGTAAAGTGTGTTTACCTTGTTGACATGTTTCGGCTGCTAGCTGCAAGCCATCTTCAGAACTGTCACCGGTGTTGGTGGTGACGTGTCGTATATCAGCTGTTGTTACTTCCTGTAGGCGTGGTCAGCCTGATGGACCTGCAGGTCACTCAGACTGACCACGCCTCCCGTCGCCTGGTGTTCTCCGGAGGAGGACTTACAGCTGAAATATTCTAACAGAAGAGGATTTTATCTTTCAGTCACTTTTTATTTTATTATTGATTATTATTATTGATTATTATTTGATAGAGTCAGAAATGATATTAACTTTTAAATACTTTAGAAACGCTTTTCTCTTTACATCAGCTTTAAGCAAATGCGCTTGTATATGCACATGCGATGCAATATACGCAATCTTTTTCGCAGACTCTATTTCATAAATTTTAGTCATAAACAGTCCGTTGAGACTTTTCTATGTAATAAAACATAGTTTGAGTGTCCAAAAAGAGGATGGGAGAGCACAGACTGTAGCAGGGCAGGCGGGAGGAGCTTCTGTCTGTCGCTGATGGAGAGTTATTAAATCATCATGAAGAAAAGGAAAAGTCTGATAGTGTAACTCCCTTACAGTCTAAATCAGGGGTCATCAAACTAAGGCCCGCAGGCTGCCACGCCTCTTTGACTGACCCCTCTGCCCCCCACCACGTGAACTGGCCCTATGAGGCACGCCTCAAAAGTGTCACGTCTGCATCTTGTATTTTGTTGATTTTTTTTTCAGTTAGGAAATTATATTTATATGAAGTATTTATATTTATATTTAAATAATTATATGACGTATTTATTTTATTTTTGTATTTTTATAGTGCAGTTAAGGACAGAGTACTGTAGTGCAGTTAAGGACAGAGTACTGTAGTGCAGAGTACTGTAGTGCAGAGTACTGTAGTGCAGAGTACTGTAGTGCAGAGTACTGTAGTGCAGAGTATTGTAGTACAGTTAAGGACAGCAAAATGTGTTAAAGTGCAAAAACTTGACAGAGTTTTCAAAGAACAGTGGATGACCAATTTTTTTTTGTTCAGTGTGAGGAGAGTGCAGTTTGTCTGATGTGTAAAGAAAATGTGGCAGTTTTCAAAGAATATAATCTACATCGTCAGGTCAAATAATTCTATTATACGGCCGACCAGACCCCAGCCCCCATCAGTGAGTGATAATGTGGCCCCCAGAGAAGAAGGTTTGGTGACCCCTGGTCTATATTAAGAGTAGGCTATATTATAAAATATAAAATATAAAATAGTGTGAGAAAGCTCTATTCTTATTTTCACTGAATAAAAATTCTGAGCTCTGAATCACTGAACCAGATGAACTAAGACACTTCACATATAAACTATAACTTTACAGTAGTTGTACTGTAATCGATTGTGTGTAATGTGTAATGTTTCATTAAGATCATAGTATTATTATATTAAACAGTTTTTTGTTTGTTTGTTTTTTGTCTTTAAACGTATCAAAATCATATCGATATCAGGACCCATGTATCGAGATATGTATCGAATCGTGGGAAAACTGTATTGTTGCATCCCTAGTACTAACCCTGTGCCTGTCTGCTCCTCTGCCCACAGCTGCTCATCTGTCCCCCGGTCACACGCTTCTTCTTCAGTCGAAGGGAGCCCTTCCACAAACTGCTGCTCCAGGGGGACTCTGGGGGCCGCCTGTCCCTGTGGAGCGTCCCCGACAGGTCCCCACCACCACAGCCCTCCACACCCGGTCAGTCTGCTCACACACACTCTGCTGCCCTGTCCATTAACACGCAAGCTTCTCATATGTAACAGGAGGGAGGGATGGGGCATGATCTAGTGCCTTCAGAAATATGATCTCTGAAATGTCTGAAATGATTTTTTCCACATCATTTGGATCAGACAAAAAGGCTTAAGTACTAGTGACTTACACCTTGAGAATCTGTAGCTCCAAAACAAGAGATGTATTGACACTGACCACAAATATTAAATAAAATACATATTAATTGTAAACTAAGCCATATCATGTATTCTAGATTAAAGATTTTATTGTTGTTGTCATAGAAAACAACAAAAGTACATTTAGAGCACACTGCCAGGTTTTGAAGTGCAATACCAAAGGTGCAGGACCCCAGCCCCACAAGTGTGTTACACAGTGTCTTTGTCTCTGTCCTCTGGGTGTTACTCAGTGTGGTTGTCTCTGTCTCTGTCCTCTGGTGAGACATGTGTTTTGTCCACAGAGTTGCCGGTGTCCTCCAGCCTCAGCCTGCAGGAGTCTTTTGACCGCCTGCTGCCCGTGTCCTCTGGGATCATTGACCAGCTCAGCGTCCTGCCCGGCAAAGAGCAGCCCATCAAGGTCCGCCCCTGTCCCTTCCCCTACCCTCCTGTCACACTGCCCCTGCCTCCTGTTAGAGGGTCCCTGTCGCTGAGGCAGGTGCAGAGTTAACCTTTTGCTGTGTGTGTTGCAGGTGACAGCCAGTGTGTACATCCCAGCGCAGGGGCGGCTGGTGTGTGGGCGCGAGGACGGCAGCATCATCCTGGTCCCTGCCACACAGACTGCCATCGTCCAGCTGCTGCAGGGGGAGCACATGCTGCGCAGAGGTCAGTACTGCAGGGGGCAGAGGTCAGTACTGCAGGGGGCAGAGGTCAGTACTGCAGGGGGCAGAGGTCAGTACTGCAGGGAGAAGAGGTCAGTACTGCAGGGGGCAGAGGTCAGTGCAGAAGGTCAGTACAGCAGGGGGAAGAGGTCAGTACTGCAGGGGGAAGAGGTCAGTACAGCAGGGGGAAGAGGTCAGTACTGCAGGGAAGCAGGGTGCAGGGGGGGAGTCAGGCAGGGGGAAGAGGTCAGTACAGCAGGGGGAAGAGGTCAGTACTGCAGGGGACAGAGGTCAGTACTGCAGGGGGAAGAGGTCAGTACTGCAGGGGGCAGAGGTCAGTAATACAGGGGGCAGAGGTCAGTAATACAGGGGGCAGAGGTCAGTACTGCAGGGGGAAGAGGTCAGTACTGCAGGGGGCAGAGGTCAGTAATACAGGGGGAACACATGCTGACTGAGGTCAGAGGTCAGCACTGATGAGTTAGTGGGGGCACAGTGGTGTAGTGTTTAGCTCACAGCAAGAAGGTCTTGGGTTTCTCTTGGGCTTGGGTGATCAGTAATTGTGATTATCAGGTCACTGTGTAATGTTCTATTTATTATTTTTGAATCAAACTAAACCTAATATGAAGGGATTATATGATCTGCATGTGTATGCCACATTAACTTTACTTCATTTAATTCAGTAAATGTGCTTTCATAAAGCTGGTACGAGGTCTGAGCAATGGTATGTATTAGACAGTGTGAATGGACACAGAAGATTTCCCTGTTGTTTGGTCATCAGAGAATGACCAGGCTCTAAATTCTACAGAACACACATTTTCATTGGCAGAAAAAAATCTGTTCACTAATACTGTTTCTGTGGACTGTTTTGTGCTTGTGTTGATCTTTGTTATTTTTGTGTGATAGAAGGAAAGAAAACAAAAACTCAATTCAAACATAAACTTGCATTACAATGCACAGTCTTTATAATAGTTGGGTGGGTGATGTATATAAACATCATGACTGAGTGTGAGTGTATATTGCAGGCTGGCCTCCTCACCGCACACTGCGTGGGCACAGGAACAAGGTGACCTGTGTGCTGTACCCATATCAGGTGTCCCCCCGCTACGACCAGCGTGCCCTCGTGTCTGGAGGAGTGGACTTCTCTGTCATCGTGTGGGACATCTTCACTGGAGAGATGAAGCACATCTTTTGCGTGCATGGAGGAGAGATCACCCAGCTGTTGGTGCCACCTGAGAACTGCAGTGTAAGGCTGTGATGGGGAGAGCAGAGGGAACAGGGCTTCTGCTTGGAACACAGACTAATCCATTCAAAACCACATGACGTATTTTTTAATACATACATTTGAGTACATAACCAGATGATGTGACTTGAGGACAATTTCAAGCAGCCGTTTGTTACTATAGCAATCTTAATGTGTGAAATATATATTTGTGCAATGCCAAATAGTTTGGCTCCTGGAGCAGATTTTTCTGCATCTGATTGGTTAGAGACCAGCTTGGTTCTCTGGTTGGTCAAAAAGCATGTTGTACAGGATTTTAATTATGTTCAAATTAGGTCATGTTGAGGTTTACCCTAATAGAAAGTGATGGGCTTTATGGCCCTGTCCTCTGGCCCTGGCGGTGGTTGCATAAGCTCACTCTTGTCTCCTGTGTGTCCTGTAGACACGAGTGCAGCACTGTGTGTGCTCCGTGGCCAGTGACCACTCAGTGGGGCTGTTGAGTCTGAAGGAGAGGAAGTGCATCATGCTGGCCTCCAGGCACCTGTTCCCCATCCAGGTGATCAAGTGGAGACCAGCCGACGACTACCTGGTGGTGGGCTGCTCCGACGGCTCTGTCTATGTGTGGCAGATGGACACTGGTCAGCCCCATCTACTAGACGAACTTATCAATGTTCGTTTTTACTAAACCGTTAGATAGAGCTTACAAGTGAAAATGTCTGTGTGTGTATTTGTGTAGGAGCCCTGGACCGCTGTGTTATGGGCCTGACCGCTGTGGAGATCCTGAGTGCGTGTGATGAGCTGGCCCCTGCCACTGTGGACGCTCTGAGCCACTCTGCGGTCAACCTCAAACAGGCCATGACCCGCCGCAGTCTGGCTGCGCTCAAGAACATGGCCCAGCACAAACTGCAGACGCTGGCCACCAACCTGCTGGCCGCTGACAACGCAGACAAGGTACGCCCCAGCTGACCCTTACACACATACAGCTGACCATTACACACATACAGCTGACCCTTACACACATACAGCAGACCCTTACACACATACAGCAGACCCTTACACACATACAGCAGACCCTTACACACTTACAGTAGACCCTTACACACTTACAGCAGACCCTTACACACTTACAGCTGACCCTTACACACTACAGACCCTTACACACATACAGCTGACCCTTACACACATACAGCAGACCCTTACACACATACAGCTGACCCTTACACACATACAGCTGACCATTACACACATACAGCTGACCATTACACACATACAGCTGACCCTTACACACATACAGCAGACCCTTACACACATACAGCAGACCCTTACACACATACAGCTGACCCTTACACACATACAGCTGACCCTTACACACATACAGCAGACCCTTACACACATACAGCAGACCCTTACACACTTACAGTAGACCCTTACACACTTACAGTAGACCCTTACACACTTACAGCAGACCCTTACACACTTACAGCTGACCCTTACACACATACAGCTGACCCTTACACACATACAGCAGACCCTTACACACATACAGCTGACCCTTACACACATACAGCTGACCCTTACACACATACAGCTGACCCTTACACACATACAGCTGACCCTTACACACATACATCTGACCCTTACACACATACAGCTGACCCTTACACACATACAGCTGACCCTTACACACATACAGCAGACCCTTACACACATACAGCTGACCCTTACACACTTACAGCTGACCCTTTACACACACACACACCTCATCGTTACACATGCACTGCTTACCCTTACACATTGGGGTTGTGTTCTTCTTTCATTCAGGCATCAAATCAAAAGCTAACTTCACTCAAACATCTCTGGTTATTCATTTTTAGTAAAAAATTCAATCTGAACACTGTAGCATTACATCACTGATTCAACCTGAATTATTTCATCATTAAAATAGCATGACTGTAGTGAAGTCATTTCACAAGTGTGTGTGCTCCTAGGGGAACCTTCCTAAGTACTCCCACAATGCACTGGTGGTGCAAGCCATGAAGACCAACCTGAGCGACCCGGACATGCACGTTCTCTTCTTCGACGTGGAGGCCGTCATCATCCAACTGCTGACAGAGGAGGCTCAGAGACCCAACCCCACCCTGGTGTCCCCCGAGAGCCTGCACAAGAGCCAGGCCGGGGCCGACAAGGGCGGATCCTTCCTCGCTAATAAGATCTTCAAACAGGTGAGGTAGACCTGTGGTATCAGCAGGGGTGCTACTCAGGCTTTAGAGCCAGTTTGACCCATATTTATTCCTCCTGTGGATTGTCTCTTGCTTACTGGTACTGTAGCAAAGTTGTAATTCTATTTCAGAAGTTTAAGACTAAATAAGACCTGGATTAGTCAAATTTTTTTGACCTGGTTTAGCTCTGTACTCAGAAAGACAAATCATTTTGCAGGTGGTACTTTGTGTAGACCTCCAGAGGCATGGCATAGACCTGGTTTGCCTTTGGTTTAGTTTGAATCATCCTTTTGTTGTAGTTTAGTGGGGCCTGTATTATGCAGCTATCCTGGATAAGAGAAACATATAAGAGCCATGGACTGAATACATAGGACAAGATGCACGCCTCATACAAATGTATGTGTACACTGTTACATGCCCTAGGACATTGTTCAGGAGTACCCCACTGGAGCTTTACTTTATTGCCCATGTGATAACTTTGTACTACAAACCAAATACAAAACTGAATTTGCTGTGGTTTGCTTGTAGTGGTTTTACGCATGTCCTGGTTTAGTCCTGGTTTATACTGCTTTTAGTCCAGTTCTGGTCTTTCCTTTAGTTCAGCTCTTGTGCGCTCCTCACTTAGCTCTGGTTCTCAGGTGAAAGAGACCATGAAGGAGACCATAAAGGAGCACCTTCTTGATGATGATGAAGAGGAGGAGGAAGAACAGAGGCGTCGTGAGGAGAAGTCTAAATCTCTGTCTCTGCTGGAGTACAACCTGACCATGGACACGGCCAAGCTCTTCATGTCCTGCCTGCACGCCTGGGGCCTCAACCAGCAGCTGGACCTCATCTGCCTGGACCGCCTGGGCATGCTCCGGCCGCACTGCCCCATCTCCTTCGGCCTCATCTCCAGAGGAGGCCACATGTCCCTCATGCTGCCCACATTCAAGGTTAGTCCCACACAATGCCCACACAAAGTTTGTGACCTGTGTTTATTCTATGTGCTCTGGAGCAGCAGTTTTAGTTCACATTTGAAGTTCTCAACTGTGAGATTCTCCAGTCTCACTTTGTGGCATATACTAAAAGTAGTGTGATCTTTAAAACTGCAGTTACTGAGTTGCATTCAATTACCTTGACGTCAGACAATGATGTGTGGTGATGTGTAGTATGAATGTGTACTTTTTTTTTCCCTGCTGTAAAAATAACTTTTTATTCAGACTTTTCAAATCTTTTACCTCACATGTTTAGTTGTAACATTCTGCTTTATGGTAAAAGAGTCTGAAATATGTCCCCTCCCCTCTCCTCAGGAGTCCCTGCTGAGGAAGCTGTCTGTGGCCACAGGGAGGAAGTTGACTCTGTCGGACATCGTGGGCAAAGGCACATATGGACTCTCCCGAGCGGTCACCACCCAGCACCTGCTGTCTGTCATCTCTCTGGCCAACACCCTCATGGGGATGACCAATGCCACCTTTGTGGGAGAGCACATGAAGAAGGCCCCGGCCAGGTGAGTCTGCTGCCCTGCCCGCTGTGCTACTAATGCAGGGACAGCTAGCACCACTGTCCCTACGCCTGATGGACAGTGTCTCTGACTGGACTAGTGACCTGTAAGCTGCGCCTGCACCCTGCTGAATATTGTATGTCTGTGTGCAGACCTCCTCGTCCCGGAGGGACCCCTGAGAGCCAGCGGCGCAGCAGCTCTGTGTCCCAGGGCAGCCCACCGCCCCAGGCTCACATCAAACAAGGTCAGGCCCTCACAGTCACATGCCCACTCCACTCCTCTGCTTTAGAACTGCATCTAAGGAGCATATGTAACACCACCTAATAGAGAGGCATTATAATACCTCTGATCTGTCACAGCTGCATGTACCTGACCACCTCGTCGCCACAAAATAACACAAAGCAACTAACTCTTATTATAAAGTGTACACCCATCCTCTGATCCCAACACCACTGTGCCATACCTCTGCTGTTCTCCATACACTAAGTCCTGCTCCACACACACTGCACGGCTTCAGCTCTGTAGCTCTGCTCTGTTCATCTCATGGTCCATGATCTCCTGGTGTCCTCGTGTTCTGTGTCATGTCCAGCAGCAGCTTTAGGAGCACTCATTTTTCACCATCTCATGTTTGCTGTTTGAATGTGTCTGTGGAATCCCGGGGAAGATCTGGCAGGTTCTCTCTGCATAATTATGTTATGTAATGACATAGAGATAGAACTGACTTGATCTGACCACAGAGGAATACACTATAAAAATCAGATGGCATCATTTCAAATGTATTGTCACTGCACATACCCATCTTAATGTTTCAAATATCACACACAGATAACATTGACAATGAAAGGGACTTAAACTGTATTTGCTTCAGTCTCACCCTAAGCGCAGGTCTCTGGTCTGCAGCCCCTGTTCAGCAGTTTGGAAATCCCTTTATTTCAGCAGGCACAGCATTAGGAGGTCTGGTACAACACTGACCTAGAGTCTAGCCATGTTCCTCATGTAGGGGCCGCTCATGGAGTGTGTAGGGGCCCCCCATGGCCCTCTGATCACTGCTCTCCGCTGCTTTGCTCTGGACTGCTTTCTAACTCTGTCTTTCTTCTTGACTTTGTTTCTCTCCTTGTCTTTCTCTAAGCTGCTGCCGCTGCCCCTGGCCCTGCCCCTGGGTCTGGGGCCCCTGGTGGCCCTCCACAGGGGCCCCAAGTTAATCCTAACATCCCCTCAGTCAACGAAGGTACTTTCATCCAGACTAACTACTGTTCAGTGAGATTGAAACCAGGACAAGACCACCATTAATTAATCTAATTAGAGCACAGGCTAAAAGTGAACTCCCTTCACACAGGCCTACGGGCTCCTTCACACAGGCCTACGGGCTCCTTCACACAGGCCTACGGGCTCCTTCACACAGGCCTACGGGCTCCTTCACACAGGCCTACGGGCTCCTTCACACTGGGCTGTTGGTGGTTCACACATAGACTGGTCCAGTCAGCGTCTTAAACACATGAAAATATGAATAGGACCCTTTTAGTCAAAGTAGTCTTCAGTAGTTGAGAGTAAAGTACCCCACTGCTTCCACTGCTACATGCCTCTCCTGTTTTCACCTCCTTTGTGCCTGTGACTGCTCCTCCTCCTCTCCTCCTACTCTTCTGTTCCTCCTCTTTCCCTCCTCTGCTCCTCCTCTGCTCCTCCTCTGTTCCTCCTGTGTTCCTCCTCTGTTCCTCCTGTGCTCTGCCTCCTCTGTTCCTTGTCTTCTCCTCCTCTGCTCTCCCTCTGTGCTCCTCTACTCCTCCTCTGCTCGTGCTCTGTGCTGTCTGTGTGCTGTCAGTATGCAGCTCCACAGTCCCACCCACTTTCAAATCTGCTCTGGTTCCAGAAGTAAACTTTCCTTTCATTTTCCCCACAGACTTTCCAAAGATCAAGGCACTATGGGGCTACTCGGCTATATGGTCACCAATATCCATAACGCGGTTGTTTTCACGCCCAGAAAGCACATTTAAACCACCAAGTTTCAGAAACAGCTTTGAAATAAAATGATAGGTCTTGCGGTCATAGTTGTGGTCTTTGTTACCACAGAGCTGATCAGCCTTGAGCTTTCAAATGTTTGGATACAATATTATTATTATTTTATTATTCTGATGATGTCTGAGAATAAAAACAGGTCCTCTCTTACAAAGTTAAATCAAAGAGCGATCTGTTCTGAGGGCATTTATTTGAAACGTCTTTTGTTGCTGTTTTTTTCAGTGTAAATGAAAATTTTTAATTCAGTGTTATTTTGTATGTATACATTTATAATGCCTATTTATGTGAACAAAATGCATTCAATTATATGATACCCTTTGAAATTTTGGGGCCATGCTCACTTTTTTCAGAAGCTTTAATTTATAAGCATGTTTTAGAGACCATAATGTCATAAAAAATACAGGTAGGAAGCTGAACATTTGTATTATTGTAGATTTTTGGTCATACATTCTGAATCTGTTGTCAAATATTGATTAGATTTATTAAGGGGCGCCCTCCTTAATAAAGATAATCAATATTTGACTGTGGGCCCCCAAAATCTCACATTTGGTTGCCGCTCAATTTACTCCAAGCAGATATTTACAAACTAACAGTTGTACCTGAATATTTGAGAGAATGACCATTTCTGACAACAATCTCACACTTTTCTGAACTTTCATGTGGATGGTGTAGAGTCCCAAATACAATCACAGACCAGACGATCTTTTTGGCCCCTTCTTTGGAGCCTCGGTTCCCCATGTGGCACAGTTAGATGTTGATCAAATTTTTACCAGAGAAACTCTGGCATATTCTGATTAGTTTAAAGTAATAAAAACATCTACTATTAACTTCCTTCATTTCAATCTGAATTTTTGAAAATGAGCTTTCAAGGGTAATTTTTGGTGGAATTTAGGTACTTTTCCACCTGCAGAAAGGTTCAGTTACCTTTAATGGACTTAAACACTATTTGCTTGTTATAAGGGAAGACAATTGGAGATTATTTGTGGTACATTGGAAAAGTGTCATTAATCCTTTGAGAAAATTCAACTATTAACTCTGTACAAAATTATGAAAAAAAGGTTTGTTTGCATTATTTATTCTATTTTTATTTGAGGAAGTTAATTTGTTATCTCACAAAGAAACAGCTTTTCATGATGTATAAGTAAAGCAACAAAAGTTAAGATAGTATTCATGGAAACTGATCAAAGGAAAATTACATTTGGAAAATGCATTGCCTGTTAAATCACAAAGTCTCTGATTCTATAACCATGTCTTTCAGTATCACCGTGTGTATTATTTTTGCACCAAAATATTACAAGAAGGCAGTAACATTAACAAGGAAAAATTTGATACTGAGACAAAAGTTACCAAAATACAGTAATCTGGTCTGTTATTTGTTCAACTGCTACATATTACATTTTAAAAATTCACTGTGAAAAACAACCTCAGTGGAAAATACCAACATACTGGACATGTACACACTACATGTAGATCATGTGTATTGGGATCTTGCACACTAAGTGTTCCTAATTACTAATGAACTTCAGAAGTCATGTTTGGATTCTGTCATAATCTGCAGTGTCAAGGCGATAATTTTGTGCTCTTCTTTTCTGAACTTCTGGTACTTTAATACAACAGATTCTGTGCTGAAATGGAACCCAACATGGTTCTGCTGATGTTCAGGAGGACACATGACGGTTCTGTCGTCTCCATTCATGAACCTCACATAGACATCACCATGTTCATCTGAACACTCTGAAATATTCCCAATTAACCCCCTGATGTCAGAAATACATGTACGTACTGACCTGCTGGTACAGAGACAAATCTGCACAATCTCATTTTGTATTTCAGAAACTGACACTTCAGTTCATAAATGATCTTGAGATATTCTCCTCTTTTCTAATTTACCATTTGACACCGGAATGAAACTGTGGTGTGATCTAGAACCATTCAGTATTTGTCTTGCTGTAGCTCTTCTAGTTTGGAAGTAAGTTCATGGTTTGTAATGTCTTCAGAGCTTGTTAAGAAAAACTTTACATTCTATATGTTTTGTGAAACCCACTCAAACATCTGGGGTCAGTTAATATTTGATTGCTGTCAGTTGTCTGAAGACTGCTCCTTGTAGCAGAGCGTTTTACTGTGCCACCAAAACCATCACAAATAATGTACCACAAATATGGTGGGAGATTTTGGGGACCCACAGCGCCCTCCTTAATAAAGATACTCAGTATTTGACAGAATCAACAGAATCAGCAGATTCAGAATCTGTGACCAAGAATCTACAATTATACAAATGTTCAGCTTGCTAGCTCTGGTTGAAGTTCTGGTCTCTCAAACATGTTTATAAATTAAGGCTTCAGAAAAAGTTAGCATGGCCCCAAAATTTCAACAGACCATAACTCAGAAACGACTCAAGGGATTGAGCTAAAATGTGAGATTCTTTCATTTGGGTATTTTAGAAGTTTATAGATTTTATTTTTTTTCAGCTATATCTGAGATGGCTCATAGGGAAGGGCGGTTCATTTCATACAGAGCATTTTTTATTCAAAATTCATCTTGTCAAAGTAGTGTCCGAACTTTTTGTCAACTCCATCAGACATTTTGAAAAACCTCATTAAATCAGGTAGTAATATAATTATTTACATCTCGGAGGGCCTCATTTGTTACTTTTACTGTACTGAACACAGCACTTCCACATATTTACACTGATCATATTTACACTTTTGGATATTTAAGACCAACACAGTTGGAAACTCCATCAGTCCATTCGGATCCATTTATTTAAACAATGCTGGAGTGAGCCTTTAGTGAGGTCAGCCTGGCAGCTCCAACAAACTAGCTGCAGTGTACATCTGTGTTTTATACCTTTGATTTCATGTCTGACAGAGCTGATCAGTCGCTACTGAGTTGACAAATGTACCTGGCAAATGTAGCTGACAAACCTACAAACTAAGAAAAGAATAACACATTTAATTCCCAATTTTCTTAACTAAAGTCATAAGTTGTATAGATATATAGACTTATAAATGATGTAAAATATGTAAAATCACTGCTCTCAGAATAAAAACTCCTGGAGGGGCAGAAGAGAGGGAGAAGGGGATATAGAAACACTGTGGGAACAAAGGAGAGGCAGAGAGGATGAAGGGGAGGTGCAGACTCAGAGACGGGGGCGAGGGAGGAGGAGAGTGGTCTTTCCTCTGCTATAGTGAGTTCAGAGGTTGAAAGTGGAATAATTGTTAGTGTTGTGGACTCTGGTCAGTGTTAAACCTGTGGCATCTGTTTTCATCTGGATTTAAACATATTTGTTCTGTTTTCAGCAGAGTTCACACATTTTGTTTGTTGTCAGCTCCGTCAGATCCATGCTTTTGGAGAGTGTTTTTGTCATTTTGGAAAGTAACTTGAATTTGGCTATTCAGTTTACACATGTGGTTTAAAGTAGTGGAGGACAGTGAAATCTACAGCCTGATTTGGGTTGATCATTTACAAAAAATTTTTTTTTATAATATTAATTGAAAAATATTTCTTTGAAATTGAAATATTATGAAACCCAAAAATTTATAAAAGTATAAAATTACAATTTAAGATATACTTTAATTGGACACAATGGGAAGTACCCTTTTTACAGCATAGATTACAAGTTACAATTTTAGCTGGATTGTAATGGAAACATTTTTTGTGTCTTTGTGTGTCTGACATAGTTGATAATCCTTGAACTGCATCAGGAAATATTACTTTTTTTTGTTTTTTTAAACATGGTTTTGTTCATCTGTTCCTTTGCATTTCTGTAGAGCTTTTAAAATAATTTTCAAAGCCTGTTTTGTCCCAACTCCAGAATCACAGATTTATACATGTATTTATTTGGAAAGTTGATGGGAAATTTTTATTTAAAATCTATTTCTGGAACCAGGGGGTGGGCGGTCACTGTTGAACTCCACAGAACAATGTGAGTGTGTTAACAAAAACAAAACAAAAAACTGTTTACCTGTTTAAGTTAAATTTACTTAAAATATTTTCAGAAAGCATAAACATAAACATAATAAAATTAGTATCAATACCATTTAACATAACAACAGTCAAATATCCCCCTTCAAAGTCTGAATTCCGCTCCCATCCTTGTACTTTTGGCTGTAGATCTTCTCATTAAAGAAAACAAGAATTTTCTAACCCTTACAAGTCAGGCCTCTCAAACAAGTTCCTTACCAAATGTGCTTTTTATGTAGGTCTATGTCCTATTGTGTTACTTTTGTCTCATTAATATTCATAAATGCACAGAGGGTGATCTACAAATAGTCATTGGTTTGTACATGTGTTTTAACACAAATGCAAATTTAGGATTTGTAACTTGTATTTTGGTCTTTACAAACAGATGTGTACTTGTAAATATATATTTTTGCATTTGCAAAATAATAATTGTAAAACTGAAAATTCAGTTTGTAAAATGTGATTCGCATTTGTGGATCACCAATTGCACAAATTCACAGATTTCCTAATGACATATTTTTGAGAGATTCTTTTTTACGTCAGTTGAATTTGTGAATTTATGTATTTGGTAATCCAGGAATTTTACAGACTGAATTTTCAGTTTTACATATGTAATTTTTTTTTCCCTTTTTTTGTAAATGAAAAAAAAAAGATATATTTAGAAATACACATCTATTTGCTAATACATTTGTGGATATCAAAGCCCATGTACAAACCAATGACTGTAGATGACTGTAGATCACCCTCTGAGCATTTATGATTATTAATGAGACAAAAGTAACCCCATTATGTCCCAGCCTGTGCCTGCTCCCTGTCCGTGTGGTCCACTCTGCTCCAGCACAGCTCTCCCTCGCTCTGATCCCTGCCTCTGCTCTGCACTGTGCATGTGTCTGCTCCCAGCACCAACAACCAACCTGTACTCCTCCAGCTTGTGCAGTTGTTGTGTTAGCAGGGCCTCACTCTCTGCAGTAGGCTCTGGCTCTTAACGTGTGTTAATGTGGCCTCACTGCAGTAGGCTCTTGTGTGTGTGTGTGTTAATGTGGACTCACTGCAGTAGGCTCTTGTATATGTGTGTGTTAATGTGGTCTCACTGCAGTAGGCTCATGTATATGTGTGTGTTAGTGTGGTCTCAGTGCAGTAGGCTCTTGTGTGTGTGTGTGTTAATGTGGACTCACTGCAGTAGGCTCTTGTATATGTGTGTGTTAATGTGGCCTCACTGCAGTAGGCTCATGTATATGTGTGTGTTAGTGTGGTCTCAGTGCAGTAGGCTCTTGTGTGTGTGTGTGTGTGTGTTAATGTGGTCTCACTGCAGTAGGCTCATGTATATGTGTGTGTTAGTGTGGTCTCAGTGCAGTAGGCTCTTGTGTGTGTGTGTGTGTGTGTTAATGTGGTCTCACTGCAGTAGGCTCATGTATATGTGTGTGTTACTGTGGTCTCAGTGCAGTAGGTTCTTGTGTGTGTGTGTTAATGTGGTCTCAGTGCAGTAGGCTCGTGTGTGTGTGTGTGTGTGTGTTAGTGTGGTCTCAATGCAGTAGGCTCGTGTGTGTGTGTGTGTGTGTGTGTTAGTGTGGTCTCAGTGCAGTAGGCTCTTGTGTGTGTGTGTGTTACTGTGGTCTCAGTGCAGTAGGCTCTTGTGTGTATATGTGTGTGTTAGTGTGGTCTCAGTGCAGTAGGCTCGTGTGTGTGTGTGTGTGTGTGTGTGTGTGTGTTAGTGTGGTCTCAGTGCAGTAGGCTCTTGTGTGTGTGTGTGTGTTAGTGTGGTCTCAGTGCAGTAGGCTCTTGTGTGTGTGTGTGTGTGTTAGTGTGGTCTCAGTGCAGTAGGCTCTTGTGTGTGTGTGTGTGTTAGTGTGGTCTCAGTGCAGTAGGCTCGTGTGTGTGTGTGTTACTGTGGTCTCAGTGCAGTAGGCTCGTGTGTGTGTGTGTGTGTTAGTGTGGTCTCAGTGCAGTAGGCTCTTGTGTGTGTGTGTTACTGTGGTCTCAGTGCAGTAGGCTCGTGTGTGTGTGTGTGTGTGTGTGTTATCTGTGTTGGAAGGCCATAGCTTGACCCTGTGCTTGTGTTGAAGGCTGGAGCCAGCTCGCTGCCATGCACTGTGTGATGCTCCCTGACCTACTGGGGCTGGACAAGTACCGGCCTCCTCTGCTGGAGATGCTGGCCCGGCGCTGGCAGGACCGCTGCCTCGAGGTGACTACTATTAAGTTATCCTTGTCTTATTTTATCATTAAAGGCCCCATACTTTGCTACTTTCTGATCTATGTTATAATGTTGTTGCCTGGAATTGTGTTTTGTTTCATTCACACATGTTTAACACACAAGAGTTCTTCTCTCAGACTGAAAACACTCTGTTGTGATGTCATGTGGTGATACAGGAAGTGCTCCACTATGGTTTAAACTCCATACATCTTTACCACTGGAGCTGCTCATTTCTGCTGAACTAAAAGATAAAAGGCATCTGTTAACTTGAAAACTACCACCTCATGACATCCCAAGGTGGAACAGCATTTGGAGCTTTGGAGATGTTGACATACTAATAATAAAGTATTACTCAAGCATTTGTGAATGAAACAAAACACAACCCCAGACATATTTTTGAGGCTGTAACATTAAAACATGGCTTAAAGCTCACAAGAGTCAATTTTGGACAATATAGGACCTTTAATCAAGTTTCAAAACTCAAAGCTCTGATTAGTATTAAAACAAATTCATCAAATGTGCTGAAAACCATAATAAAAAACAGAATATGGGTACTTATTAAGAATGTCCTCTAACAGCATCACTTTCACTTTGTCTGGGTCAAACTGAGTAAAGAAATATCACAAAACAATAAGAACTAACATGTTGATCTAAATGTCATGTGTTAAGAATGAATTCCCACAGACTCCCCACAGAAGTGTAACAGCTCCTCTTTAAACATGACAGTGAACATTTTAGTATGTATGTATAGTGATATTACATCTTCTTGCAACAGTCTGTGCTGAATGTGCTGTGCTGTAGGTACGTGAGGCGGCTCAGGCTCTGCTCCTGGCCGAGCTCAGGAGGATCGGGGTGTCCGGTCGGAAGGACACCATCGACATGTGGGCTCCGTACCTGCCTCAGTATGTGGACGCGGTCAGCTCACGTAAGTCTGACCAGTCTGTCCGTTCCCAGGGCTCCCATGGGCTCTGATGGTCCCCTTTCCTCCTGTCCTAGTCCAGAGCATAGTAGTCATTATGGGCTGATTTCTGTTTTTGTTTTTCCAGCTGGAGCCACCACAGAGCAGCCAGCACCTGCCCCTCCCCCTCCAGAGGCTCAACCAATAGAGAGCAAGCTCCCAGAGGAGGAGATGGATGTTGCAGATGATGATATCACTGCAGGTAGGACTGACCCAGGTCTGGTGCAGGAGTCACTGGACCCCATTCGCATCAGTGTGCAGCATCTGAACCAGTAGAGCACTACACACTGGTCAAAACATCAAAAAACATCAAAAGTTACAAATGTAACCATGGTTCTATGAAGCTGTACTGATGCCAGAGTGCAGTGCTGAAAGCACTGAATGATTCTCTACGCACACACAAAGAGAACATTCTGTTTTTGGTGGTTAGTAGGGATGAAGTAAAGCAGTATTGTCTAGTCCCCCTTTGCCTGTAGTTTATGATGAATATTGGATGAGGAAAGTTACATTTACACATTACAAGCCTGTGGACAACCAGTGACTCCTGTGCTTTGGTGGAGGTGATTTGTTTAGTTTAATGCTTCAAGATTGATTAAATGCTATCAAATTGACACTGAAAACTGAATGGTTACTTTGTAAAAGCTGTGAACCTTGTAGTTTAGACCTCTCCAAACATGTTGTGAAATTGAGGAGGGTCTCGGATTAGATTAACTGCTCATATTTTAGTCTTCTCTCAAATAAACGTGTTTTTAAATGTGCATTTCTTTAATAAATGGCCTTAACTCTATTCTGTGAAAATGTGCCCTGTATCTCCCTTCAGCATTATGAATGCATTAAATAGTCCCCTCTTTCAGGCTGTCTGTCCAACCTCCCTCCAAACGCCAAGAAGATCTGTAATTCTTATGAGGAGCGGCGTAAACAGGCCACGGCCATCGTCCTGCTGGGGGTCATTGGGGCCGAGTTTGGGGCCGAGATTGAGCCTTCAAAAGGGGCCCGTGCACGGACAGGGGGCCAGGCTCCAGAGGGCTTTGGCCTGACCAGCGGAGGCTCCAACTACTCCCTGGCCCGCCACACATGTGAGTATGCCCTCTGTTCATGCTAATTACCATTAGCACTTTGTGTGCTTTGGCAGTTCATATTCATACTATTAATAAACTCTCAGCAAAACTGCTTTTGTGGAGTGTACCCTGTTGTCTCTTGGGTTCTTTGGTTCTCCCTGATCCCTGACTGCTCCGTGCTCCAGGTAAAGCCCTGACCTTCCTCCTGCTGCAGCCACCCAGCCCCAAGCTGCCGGCCCACAGTACCATCCGCCGTACGGCCATCGACCTGATCGGGAGGGGCTTCACCGTGTGGGAGCCCTACATGGACGTGTCCGCCGTGCTGCTGGGCCTGCTGGAGCTGTGTGCTGATGCCGAGAAGCAGCTCGCCAAGTCAGTGCCACACCTGCCACACCTGCCACACCTGCCACACCTGCCACACCTGCCACACCTGCCACACCTGCCACACTTGCCACACTTGCCACACTTGCCACACTTGCCACACTTGCCACTCCTGCCCCTCCTGACCCTCCTGCCACACTTGCCACTCCTGCCCCTCCTGCCCCTCCTGCCCCTCCTGCCACACCTGCCACACTTGCCACACTTGCTCCCAGTGTCACAATTGTCCATCTACTCCAGCCTCTGTACTTAGCACTTGTTTGGATTGGCATTTGCCGTTTTGTCACTCACACACACCAGGGCACACCAGCAGCTTTCAGGCTTTGGCACAGAACATTCACAATAGGTGTTGAGTTGATTGAGTTTAGATTTTCACAATTTCATGATTCATGATTTTAAGGGAGTTGCAATTTAAATTTTGTCCAGTGTGTCATGTTTATAATATGTCCGTAACAGTGGCATGTGCCACTAACACAAATGTATTTGTCCTAGCAGTAGGGATGTAACAATATCCAAATCTCTCAATGCAATATTTTCACAAGATGCATCTCACGATACAATGTTTATTGCGATATTTTGTGGAGACTAACCAAAACCAAAATATGCTACATTTTCCTTTTTAAAATGCCTTGAAAACCTTTTGGTACTCTTATAATACAAATAATTAAGAAGTGCTTAATTTGTTTGTTCATGTTCGGCACTGAATCAGCAAAGGATCATGGTCTTTTAGTTATTGCTGCATCATAACATCTATTTAAGCAAAGACACTTCAATATAATAGATTCAATATATTGTGAAACACAAAGATGATATTTTGAGACTTCTGGCGATACGATATCACGATATTTTGGTTATTGTTACATCCCTACATAGCAAGTGACAGAAGGCGTGGTTGTGGTCTGGTCTGTGGTCTGTGGACACTGGACTCTTTCTAACCTCCTGTGTGTCCTCAGTGTGACAGTGGGTCTCCCTCTGAACCCTCCGGCTGACTCGGCCCGCTCTGCTCGCCACGCCCTGTCGCTCATCGCCACAGCCCGCCCCCCCGCCTTCATCACCACCATCGCTCGAGAGGTACTCCACCACACTGACCCACCTCACCACACAGCACCAGCAGCCAAAGAACAGTGGAAAACTTGTAACTGTCAAATTGTTTGTGGTAGGTGCATCGATTCAACGCGGCTCAGGCTAACTCCCAGTCTCAGCAGAACGTGCACACCAGCACTCTAGCCAGGGCCAAGACTGAGATCCTCCGAGTGCTGGACATCCTGATTGAGAAGATGCCTGCAGATGTGGTGGACTTACTCGTGGAGGTCAGATATCCCAATCTATCCACACTGAACATAGAATTGCAGCCCATGTGTGTGATCAGGTGTATGCTCCCTTGTCACAGTTATGCTCCTTGAACCTTCTTTGCAGATGTCACTGGCCTCTCTGATTCAGAATCCACAATGAAATCATATAACCAGATCCTTTGTGAGACCACATATAGGCCCAGCATTTATGTCTGCTAATACTACAAATAAGATATTAACTTTTTTCTCAAAACCATAAAATAATGCTGATTCATAAATCTGGTCCTCCACAGACACTCTGTTTGTGCTATCCTTAAAGCTGTACTGTGCTCCTCAGGTTATGGACATCATCATGTACTGTATCGAGGGCTCTCTGGTCAAGAAGAAGGGTCTGCAGGAGTGTTTCCCTGCCATCTGCAGGTTAGTACTTCTGCTCTGCTCTCCTATTCCTCTCTCTCCTCGTCTTCTCTCCTCATCTGTCCTTTTCTCCTCGTTTCTCCTTCTCTCCTCTCCTCTCTCTGCTCTCCTCTTCTCCTATGCTCCACTGTCTTCCTCTTCTGCCCCTTCCCTCTTCTTCCTTCATACGTAGAAACATGTTGTGTTGTGCTGCAGGTTCTACATGGTGGGTTACTGCGATCGCAGTCACCGTATCGCTGTGGGCGCTCGCCAGGGTTCTGTGGCGCTCTACGATGTCCGCACGGGCAAATGTCAGGTATACACGCTGTAGTGAGGCCAACTGGGAGCATCTGCTATTCTGGGGTTTGGGAGGGTCAGCACTCCTCTGATCACCCACATGTCCAGGTGTACAGAGGTGCAGGTGTAGCTTTCTAAATGAGTCCTCATTTGGGTGATTCTTCAGTGGATGTGAGGCAGATTGTAACAAAACATTTCATATGTTATATCCGTAGCATCCTAATTATGAGTGTATAAGCATGGTGCTTTAGTTTGAGTGACACACTAAACAACAACTTGCATGCTAACTGGGCACCAGTGTCACTTCCTCGTTCATAGCTTATAAAATCATAGTTACATATGTAACTATGGATCTATTCAACTTGTGATTCACAACATCAACATTGCCAATGATTTTGCACCTTTGCACCCTCAGTTATATTTGATTTGATGATGGATCAGACTTGGGATATGTTTGTGTGGTGGGCTTCACAGCTGTTGCCATGGGAGACATATTACTGTGGGTTATTTTGTCACAGTCCAGGTGTGAGTGGACCCTAACACAATCTCTGCCCCCACACTGCAGCTGCTCTGGAGTGTTTTATGCTCCCTGGAGATGCTGCTCATAAGCCGCTCCAGCACAGACCTGTTTGTAACATAACTCCTTTCATTTTGAGAATATCATACACATGCTTTTATGTTATCTACACCTAAAGAGAAATCATATTAAGAATGCTGCTGCGATGGGCTGTACTGAAAGACAACATCATAGACGCCAAGGTTGTATTTTTTTGAACTTTCTCTCAAGTGGCACTTCTGCTTCATCAAAGAGGTGTTTTTAGTTTCATGTTAATAAACTTGACAATCACCATATACAGTCAGTGGTAATGACAGAATTATAAGCAATCAGATCTAAATCAGGATTTGTAAATCACAAAGGCTTCAGTTATTGAAGTACCATCATTTCCTTCATAAACAACTACATTTTGTGTCTTATTCTCAGTTTGTTCATATTTCACTTTTTTGTATTCTGGACAAGTTTAAAATCTGAACAGAAAAGGAACCGAATCCTTTTAAAACATCAGTCACAATTCCATTCGTAGTTGGGAGCTTGGTCGCTTGTTGCTCTCTGAAAACCCTACATGCGTGTGAATGTGTGTTTGATGTGCACTCTGGTCTGTGCTCAGAACATCCACGGACACAAGGGGCCCATCACAGCAGTGTCCTTCGCTCCAGATGGACGCTACCTGGCAACCTACTCCAACGCCGACAGCCACATCTCCTTCTGGCAGGTACGGACTCACTGTTACACACCTCACTGCTCTCTGTCCTTACGGAGTACACACAAGAGGTCCTGTGAGCCCTCATGCAATATGCTCGGGGCCCCTCTATAATGCTGTTGTGATTGAACATAGATCTGAACATTTATGAAATTACATCAAAGTGCATTATGTTCCCTCAATCTATATTATTTATATAACCAACTTATGGGTACCGTGTGGTGCTTCATGTGTAAAACATACATATGGAAAGTACTTTTTACTTTTCAGTCCTTTTCTCAAATGTACTAGAGATGGAAGTACTCTGAGGTAGTGAAGTAAAAGTACTACATTGTAAAAATGAATTTTAATTACTGTATTTTCCGGGCTATTAGGTGCTCTGGATTATAAGACGCACTGTCATTAAATGGTCTATTTTCGAACTTTTTTCACAAATAAACCACACCAAACTTTAAAGGAAACCTAACAGTGTGATGGGTGAGTGGTTTTGTTTGTTTGTTCGTTCACAGTGACTCTGGGCTTTGTTCAGTTGTGGCGTGTAGGGAGGGTGCTGTCTGGGACCAACGGATTGTCGGCGTGTTCGCAGTGACTCAGTTGTTCAGTCGTGTCTAGAAGTGACACATTGCACTCGCTTTTTCGGTTCGTTCCTCCGTTCCGTTCCTCGTCGGCGTGGAGTGATGAGTGTGTCTGTGGGTGTGTTTTGCTGTGTGGTCGCTGTCTGTCGTGTGTGTTTGTGTGTTCTGCGGGTGGTGCGGCTTTGTAGTTTACTGAAGTCATGCTGGGACACCTGAGTGGATTCGTGTATAGGGCGCTCTGGATTGCGGGGCGCGGCCGTTTTTTGATGGGGTTAGAGGCTTAAGAGCGCGTCTAATATCCTGGAAAATACGGTAAGTATAGACACGCTAGATGCTTTAGGTGAGGGCCTGATAGTCATAAGAGACATTGCTTTTACATTGGAGTAATCTTCTGTGTGTGATTTGACTTTAATGTGTGTATTCTTGTTTGTCCTTCTGCAGATGAACACCAGCCTGCTGGGCAGCATTGGCATGTTGAACTCGGCTCCTCAGCTGCGCTGCATAAAGACATATCAGGTGCCTCCAGTGCAACCCGCCTCCCCTGGCTCCCAGAACCACCTCAAACTGGCACGCCTCATCTGGACCTCCAACCGCAACGTCATCCTCATGGCTCACGATGGCAAAGAGCACCGCTTCATGGTCTAACTCTCCTGCTGCACTCTACTACCCCACCACATGGTCTAACTCCCCTGCAGCAGTCTACTACCCCCCCCAAACACACACACACACTTGTCCACCACCGTTATCTTCCCTACCCACCGTCGTGGTGTGCTTTACACATGTGGAGACAGACTGATAATACACATTATATCTGGTTTATTCATTCATTCAAAAATTCTTCCTGTGTTGTGCTAAATACTTTTTGGGGGATTTGAACATATCAGTGTGGTTTCCTCATCAACAAATGTACAGACAGTGACACAGTCTGAAAAAGGCTTGAGAAATCCTTTAGGATCTGAGGTGGGTGTCATGTGGTTTTCAGTGACAGTATGTGGGACCTGCTCCGGTTCATTTGGTGGGACACACTTAGTGTTTATGATATATGGGACACATTATTCCTCCATCCACAAGCACACGCCTGAATCAAGTGGAACTCACCTGACACATGTTCAATGTATCCCCAGTTGTGTGTTGTTGTGCTCCAGACCTTCACTCAGCCTCTCATGGTAACACATACAGAAGCTGTTATCAACAAATGAAAATAGTGTCCACAAGTCTCCTGCTTGTCTCCATGGAGATGTTTTAGCTCTGCCTGGAATGTTTTTCAGTATGGCATTAACGTGTCTATCTTACATTCATTCAGCTGCTGGCTTTCTACTACTATGAAGCTTGGAGTCACCTGTATCTATGGTGGTGAGTTTAATGCTATACTGTGGAACATTTCTAAGCAAATACATCTACATGGCAACAAGCTGGTAGCCTATACCCTAAGGTTTCATACTACAGCTTTAATCTATTGAAGGCCTAACCCTCACTCAGGAGGGGGGCTCCTGTGTACAGTATTTATTAGTCATGTCCACTGGCCGCAGCATGTGTGTTCTGTGGATAATGATTATTTTTGTTTTTATTTTCCTTATTTATTTAAATGTGCTGAAACATTCCCACAGGACCCCTCCTGGCTTTAGATTTCTGAATAACTACTTGAACTGTCCAAATGTCAGCTAGATAACAGAGGACCTATTTTAATTTAAGAGGAATATACAAAAAGTTACATACTGTACTTTTAACACAAGTCAAAAATATGTCAGAGAGTCTACATAAATCTGAACTTCTTAAAAGGAGTTCTCTCTTCATGTTTTAGTGCAGTGCTCTTCTGTGGTGTATATTTGCAGATGTAAAGTTCTATTTTAGTGCAAACAAGAGATTCTGTTTGTGACCCTCTGCATGGTTGTAAATTAGCCGCATTTTATGTGTACAGTAAACGCATCGTGGTGTGTTCAATGTGTTCAGTAATAAACTTAATTGTGCTGTGGAAGTCTTTTGTTTCTGTTCTGGTCCAGTGTTTCTCAAATTGGTGTGCAGCTGTTGCAATTCATTTTAATAATAATAATAATAATAATAATAATAATAATAATAATAATAATAATAATAAATCTTTATTTATAAAGCCCTTTCAGAAACGTGTTTTACTTTAGTCGTATTTGTTTGTTACTTCGTCCATACTCAGTCAGGTGTATGTGCTGCTTGTCAGTAAGCAAATCTTTTCTTAGATCCATTTGATGTGCTTTATGCTTTTATATGAATGCATTTGTTTTCTACAGATGGTTATTCCAGATGGTCAGAGTCACCCCAGTGTGATGTGAGTGAATAATGTACCACACTGGTCCTAAGTTATTGTTGTGTAGGTCCATAAGCGAGCCTGCCCATCTGTGCCAGCAGCCCTCCGTCCACTATCAATACACACACCACTTTCATAGAGTGTGGGTGAAGTGCCTTGCCTAAGGACACAACAGTAGTTTTGCCACTGTCTGTGGCACCTGGTATTCCCAGAGGTCTCTCATCCAAGTCCAAACTAGGCCCAGCCCTGTTTCTTTTCTGAGATGCTTATGGCTCTTGACATATTCATATTTAAAGGTGCACTACGTAACTTCTGATGGAGCTCCTGCACTGTTTTTGTCTCCATGGAGATGTTACGTTTGCTGGTAATTTTCCACAGGGCGGCATTAAAGTTATGCATCTTTTTCGTGCGTGTGGCCATAGAGCTGACCTGTAACTGTAACTGGTTGCGTCACCCTCTCAGGTTTCCATAAAAATAGAGAAATAATGCCATACTATGGAACATTCTAAGCGAAGAAATGATTTTCCACCAGAGAAGATGCAAAGTGCACCATTATTTCGGGCTTTGGTCGTGGTCCAGCTGCAGAGCCCGCATCAGTGCGCTGGTCCCGGTGCGCTCCTGCTTCTCCCCCGCACAGCAGAGCCATGGAGCTATGATATGATTGGATTATTCTTCCATGAGCAGCACCAGAGGACAGTGCGCAGGGCCGGATCACTCCGCGGCCCCTGACCGGAAGTGGCGGTTCACGACCTCCACAGACTCCGCCTCGCGCTGTAACGGGTGGTCTCCCGTTCCTGCGCCGGAAATAACACTCAGTGCAGGAGTACCGGGGAGAAGAGAGCACCGGGGAGCACGGAGCCGAGCAGAGAGCGCGCAGAGGCCAACACCGCTCCGCCGCAGCTTCGTCGCAGCTCCGCGTCTGTCTGCGCTCCAGCCGTGAGTTCGCCCGCCCGCCGCCTCCGCATCACCTGCTCCATCTCCATCACACAGGCTCCCTCCGCCTCTCATCCGCCTCTCCTCCGCATCCCTCTTCCCCCGTGTCCGCAGCATCCACCCTCCGCTGTCTCACGCCTGTCCCCCGCCTGTCCCCGCTCTGCCCTGCGCGGCCCGGGGACAGCGTGCAGATGCTGAGCAGGCTGTCGGAGCGCGGGGGAAAACAGAAACAGCAGATTGATGTGAGCGAGTTTTCACAATCTGGACTCCATTTCCCAGCGTCCTCTCGTGCGTGATGACGTACTGGTGTTTGTCTCATGCCTAAATGTATGACAGAGTGTAAAATGAGAAGGAGCTGGAAGAGGGACAGACCCGGGCGAGTCAGGCCTGTAGGACATAGAGGGGCTGCAGCTCAGAGGTGTCACTCCCTCTGGGATTGACCTGCCAGAAGCACAGCCCCTCAGCCCCTCTTCTCCATTAATATTTCAGACAGTAGCTCAATCCCATCTCCGTCACAGTGAATACTGTCTTTGTGTCCTTGGGCAAGACACTGTAGGCCTACTTGAAGGTGAGAAAGTGTCATCTAAAATGTGACCTGAACCATGTGAAGTTAACTTAATAGAGATAGACAGATATATCTGGCAGATATTTGGACTTTTATACACACAAAGATTTATTTCAACTCTCTTAAAGGTTTGTGGTAAGGGTAGAACTGTGGGTGAGTTTGTAGTAAATTTTAATTACATAATTTTAAGGAAATAATCAAAATGGGCTCTATATATTGACCCAAAACTATCTGAGCTTATTGGCCATTGGTTGCTCTGGATTTGAAACAATCTGCATCGATCATGAAAAATTATATCAGCTGTTCTCTAGAACTAAACACTAAATCACTTTTTTGTTATTAAACTACATTATCTGTCATTTTAATAGCATTCATTTGCAAACTCTGTCAATTTGCAGCTTTTGGGTCAAGAACACCTAAAAGTGTGTGTTGCCTTCAGTGGCCACTGCAACTTCAAGTACTTTGTGATGTCACAAAAACTGCCCTGATTACAGCCAAGTGTTTCTGATTACAAACAAACAAGCAGGCTCAGAGTTTGAAGTGTGGATACCTGTTACACCAATTACACTGCTCCTTACACCACCAGACCCCGCCCCCTCGTTTAGTCCTCCAGGTACTGCCCAGTTTAACAGTTCTGTCTGAAATGTGTTTATGGGCGGAGTTTAGAAGTTTAGTCCCACTTTACTCACATTTCACGTGTCACTTGTGTTTGTCTCTTTCATATATTTTTCTCACGACTGTTGACAAAGATTAAATCTCTTCGTTCCCACTGTCCTATGAACATACCAGTGACACCTTCCACATTTGCAGTGTTGCATACATTATGTGAACTGACTCTTCTCCATCAGGCTCCGGTTCTGGATGGCCCCTGTGCAGGCCCCTGGCAGCAGCAGAGTGCCTGGGGGCCTGAGCAGGACGAGGGATGGTGAGGCTGGTCAGTGCCCTGGGGCTGGTCATGTTCAGCGTGGCTCTGCTCATCCTGTCACTCATCAGCTATGTGTCCATCAAGAAGGACCTTCTACAGGGAGGGGGCCCTCGATACGGCCAAGGAGGGGGGCCCCGCATGTACATGCTGCACGCAGGTTTCCGGTGAGTCACGTCACCCACCACCACATGAGACAAATACAGACAGAGAAGGGAGAGAGTCATATGAGTAAAGACAGGGTCATAGACAGCTGAGGAGGTCAAGGGTCTACATACAGGTGACATCTGCAGAGGGAGAGACTGAGGAGGATCATGGTTCTACTGCTGCGATGGAGATGGGTCTGAGAGCGTAATGGGGCAGATATGTGCTGATGCCAGTGGATAAATAAACCTGCATAAGAGAAACTTAAATAAATGTGTGGACATGTGCAGGTTTCCTCCTGGAGAAAAGCCTTGAATCATGATAAATATACATAAAGTATATAAATATACTCTTCTGTAACATACGGCCCAGTGTCCTGCAGCTGTAGTGCACAATAAAGACGTCCTCTACACATCGGCCTGTGCCACTGTGATGCTACTGTCTGAAGATTACTCTGCTATTACTACTGTGAAATCTACACAAAATCTCACACACTGCAACAAAACAGTGTGAGGACAGAGTAGAACTAGACACTTACAGAGATCTTTTGCTTCCATGTGCTCTCCTCCAGTCCCTGAGCTCTGGGCTGAGGCCCCTAGGCCCTGTGCTCCTCGCTGTGGGCCCTGTGCTCTGGGCTGAGGCCCCTGGAACCTGGGCTCTGGGCTGTGGATCCTGAGCTCTGGGCTGAGGCTTCTGAGCTCTGGACTGTTGCCCCCGGGGCCCTGGGCTCTGGGCTGTGGCCCCTGGGCTCTGTACTGTGTCACTGTCAGAGGATGTTGTTTGTTTTGCAGTGAGCGGGCCCCTCACAAGCCCGACCACAGGTGAACACACACACACTGTTACACACACATACACATAACTGTAGATTGGAGCTGCGCCAGCCCCTCCTGACCAGGAGGAGGCGTCGTAATGTAATGTAATGTAATGCTAAGGGCCCCACTGGCCCCAACACTGGGGGCGGCAGCAGGACACTCTCCAGGTGAAGTGTGACATTATCTGTCATCTCTTCCGGTGTGTAGACAAAGTTTAACACCAAAAGTGACCTTTGCCCTGCCCACATGTGTGAAACGATTTAACATGGCACAGGTACAGTGGTAGGCACTCACCCCCCACTGAGTCCTGAGGAGAGGTGAGGGGGTGTCCTGTGGAGGGGCAGGGAAGAGGGCGTGTCCTGTGGAGGGGCAGGGGAGGGGGCGTGTCCTGTGGAGGGGCAGGGGAGGGGTTGTGTCCTGTAGAGGGGACATGTCCTGTGGAGGAGGCGTGTCCTGTGGTGGGGGTGTGTCCTGTGGACGGGGCGTGTCCTGTGGAGGGGCAGGGGAGGGGGCGTGTCCTGTGGAGAGGCAGGGGAGGGGGCGTGTCCTGTGGAGAGGCAGGGGAGGGGGCGTGTCCTGTGGAGGGGCAGGGGAGGGGGCGTGTCCTGTGGAGGGGCAGGGGAGGGGGCATGTCCTGTGGAGGGGCAGGGAAGAGGGCGTGTCCTGTGGAGGGGCAGGGAAGAGGGCGTGTCTTGTGGAGGGGCAGGGCAGGGGGCGTGTCCTGTGGAGGGGCAGGGGAGGGGGTGTGTCCTGTAGAGGAGATGTGTCCTGTGGAGGAGGCGTGTCCTGTGTGGGGGGATGTCCTGTGGCGGAGCGTGTCCTGTGGAGGGGCAGGGGGGGGCGTGTCCTGTGGGGGAGGGGGCGTGTCCTGTGGGGAGGGGGCGTGTCCTGTGGAGGGGCAGGGAAGGGGGCGTGTCCTGTGGAGGAGGCGTGTCCTGTGGTGGGGGCGTGTCCTGTAGAGGGGGCGTGTCCTGTGGAGGGGCAGGGGAGGGGGCGTGTCCTGTGGTGGGGGCGTGTCCTGTGGAGGGGGCATGTCCTGTGGTGGGGGCGTGTCCTGTAGAGGGGGCATGTCCTGTGGTGGGGCGTGTCCTGTAGAGGGGGCGTGTCCTGTGGAGCTGTGTCCTGCTGTGAGGCCCTCTCTGTTCGGCTGCTCCAGCTCAGATCTTGACACTCTGGCATGTCTCAAATCTGTTTTGTATGTGCACTTCCTAAGAGCCCAAAGCAAACATCAGGATGCAGTGGACAGATGCGTCACTATGAGAGCTTTTGACATTTGTTTACAGAGAAGATAAGCCTCTGGAGATGTATCATCTCATCCAGCAGGAACTCGAGACTGAAGTGGTCTTCAGTCTCAGGTCCTTTTGGAAAAGTGGATCTGAACAGAGTCTGATCTTCTTTTGGTGGCCTCACGGTGGACCAAGGACACCGTAGACCTGTTCCACTGACATCACTGATAAGCTCTGCTGCATCTGCAGGCACATGTTTGACCACAGCCTGTGAGGTTTGAACTTCTCCACATACTTTGAGCAGTCATGTGGAGACTTGGGTGCATTGTGCTGCAGAGGAGGTTCATGTGGAGAAGAAGGTCCACAATCAGGATTCTCACATGCTAAGAACTATGCTAATAACAGTGCTGCTGTTCATTTGAATCTGCTGCTCTGGACTCTTTGATTTCACTTTGGTAGAGAGAGCTTTGATGCACTGGTGCTGCAGCATGACGGAGTTTTAAAGCAAAGGTCAGGTTCACTCTGATGACTGTCACCTGCTGTTTAACACAGTGTTGTGTGTGTAGTTCTCAGCTGGCTTTGAAGTACCTGGATCCTGCCTTTGTGCCTGTGGGCAGTGCACTGACTGAAGACCTGCTCAACTCGTCCAAGTGGAGGTTCAACCACAGCGCCTTTGTGCAGCAGAGGTAAGCTCTTTCAGATGAGGAGCTGGAGGAGGACTGCTGCTGCTGCACACACCCCTGTCTCAAGAGACTCATCTTCTGTTTTATCATTTTATGTATTCCTTTCATGTTCCTTTCATGTTCTTGTGTGTTCCTCTCATGTTCCTCTGGTGTTCCTGTCTGTTCTGTCTACTACTGTGTGTTCCACTGATGTTCTTTTCACGTTCTTCTGATGTCCTTCACATGTTCCTCCCATGGTCCTGTGTGTTCTGCTAATATTCTGGTCTTTTAATGTTCCCATGATGTTCTTTTAATATTCCAGGGAGGAGATGGCTCACTACATCGACGTGCCACAGAACTTCAGCCTGATTCGCAGCGCTGTGCGTGTGGGCCAGCTCATGCACTATGACTACTCCAGCCACAAGTACGTGTACTCCATCGGGGAGAACTTCCACTCTCTGCTGCCTGAGGCATCGCCCATCCTGCACAGACACTACAAGCGCTGTGCTGTGGTGGGCAACAGTGGCATCCTCACGGGCTCCAAATGCGGTGCGCAGATCGACAGCTTTGACTTTGTTTTCCGCTGCAACTTCGCACCCACCGAGGTCTTCAAGAAGGACGTAGGCAGGAGAACCAACATGACCACGTTCAACCCCAGCATCCTGGAGAAGTACTACAACAACCTGCTGACCGTGCAGGACCGAAACAACTTCTTCCTGAGTCTGAAGAGGCTGGATGGTGCCATCTTGTGGATCCCTGCGTTCTTTTTCCACACATCGGCCACGGTCACGCGTACTCTCGTGGACTTCTTTGTGGAACACAGGGGGAAGCTCAAGGTGCAGCTGGCCTGGCCTGGGAACATCATGCAGTACATCAACAAGTAAGACACCATTTAAAGGGCATTATGACACTTTTCTGATGGAGGCTCTGCCACCTCTTTATCTCCACAGTGATGTGAGTGCTTTTCCTCGATTGTTACATAGTACGGCATTAAACATATCTATCTCCATGGAGACAAAGAAGTAACTCCACCGGGCCAGGTTACATGTCAGATCTGTGGGGGAATGAGCCGGTCAACAGTCAAAAATATGTGTGTCAGCAGCAGCTCAGTTTACCCACTGATCTGAAAGTCAGTGGTTTGAATCTCACCCTCAACATAAAAAAAAAAAAAAAAAAAAAAAACATCATTGGTTGAGCGTCAGATCCACTGACCCACAGGTTGGTGGTGTGATTCCAGCTTCCACAAATTAACACTGTTGTTGTGCCCTTGGGCAAGACACTTAACCCACCTCACCCCCAGTGTGTGTGCTGAGCACACTGGTGTGTGATGTGTGTATGAGTGGTTCTTTGTTGTAAAGCGTTCTGAGCCTTGAAGGTGGAAAAGTGCTGTATAAAAATGTGATCATTTACCTTTTACCAAGGTCGCACTAAAATGTAAATGCCATACTGTGGAACATTCCAGACAAAGCTCTAACATGTGTTTGGGTACCAGCAGGTGGCCCTCTAGCAGAAAGGTGAGGCTTAGCTCAAACCTGTGACTGTGATTGAGCATTTCAGTGACATGGCTCTAATGTCCCCACACTCTGTGCAAACGTGTGTGTGTGTGTGTGTGTGTGTGTGTGCAGTTACTGGAAGACCAAGCAGCTGTCCCCTAAACGCCTGAGTACAGGCATCCTCATGTACACGCTGGCGTCTTCGGTGTGCGAGCAGATCCACCTGTACGGCTTCTGGCCCTTCGGCTGGGACCCCAACACGGGCAAAGAGCTGCCCTACCACTACTACGACAAGAAGGGCACCAAGTTCACCACCAAGTGGCAGGAATCACACCAGCTGCCCGCCGAGTTCAAACTGCTCTACAGGATGCACACGGACGGACTGCTCAAGCTCAGCCTGTCCCACTGCGCCTGAGACACACCTGTCCCTGTCCCACTGCGCCTGAGACACACCTGTCCCTGTCCCACTGCGCCTGAGACACCTGTCCCTGTCCCACTGCGCCTGAGACACACCTGTCCCACTGCGCCTGAGACACACCTGTCCCACTGCGCCTGAGACACACCTGTCCCTGTCCCTCTGCGCCTGAGACACACCTGTCCCTGTCCCACTGCGCCTGAGACACACCTGTCCCTGTCCCACTGCGCCTGAGACACACCTGTCCCACTGCGCCTGAGACACACCTGTCCCTGTCCCACTGTGCCTGAGACACACCTGTCCCTGTCCCACTGCGCCTGAGACACACCTGTCCCTGTCCCACTGCGCCTGAGACACACCTGTCCTGTCCCACTGCGCCTGAGACACACCTGTCCCACTGCGCCTGAGACACTCCTGTCCCACTGCGCCCTAGAGGCCCCTGTCCACCATTGTCCCTGACTCCCAAAACTGTCCCCCTGCTAAACCAACCCCAAAGTCTGCTTGTACCAATGTGCACAAGAACCAGTGACCTCTGACCCCCACCCCTTTAAAGAAAACAAAGGTCTTCTGTAAACAGAACGCTCTGGATCCTTCTGTTCCCGGCCTCTCAGGTGGACTTCTGCTTAGAACCTCACAGAACAAAGCTCATGGACTTTCTTCAGAATGTGTTTGTAAAATGAACTGTGTTCAAGAATGTAACCTTGACCTGAATGTTTCCAGAACACACACTTCTACACACACTTCTACACACACTTCTACACACACTTCTACACACACACACACGTCTACACACACACTTCTACACACACACACACTTCTACACACACACTTCTACACCCACACTTCTACACACACACTTCTACACACACGTCAACACTATCTAGAACACAACCAGTGCTTCTGACCCCACACACACCCCCCCTTTCTCTCCTCTCTCTTTTTCTCTCCCTCTCTCTCTCTCTCTTTCTCTCTCTCTCTCCTCTTCCTCTCTCATCCCTCGCTCTCTCTTGCTTTCTCTCTCATTCCTCCCTGTCTTTCTCCTCCCTTTCTCCTCTCCCGCTTTCTCTCTCCCTCTCTTTTTCTCTCCCTCTCTTTCTCTCTCTCTCTCTCCTCTCAGTCGCCTCTCTCCTTCTCACTCCCTCTCCCCCTCTCTTTCTCTCTTTCTCCTCCTCTCTTCTCTCCCTCTCCCCCCCTCTCTCTCCTCCCTGTCTCTCTTCCTTCTCCCCTTTTTTCTCTCTCCTCCCTCTCTCGTCTCTCCCTCTCTTTCTCTCTCTCTCTCTCTCTCCACTTTCTCTCTCTCTCCTCCCTTGCTCTCTCTTGCTTTCTCTCTCATTCCTCCCTGTCTTTCTCCTCTCTCTCTCTTTCTCTCTCCCTCACCCTCTTCTCTGCCATCAGTTGTCTTCTGTCAGTCTCTCCTCTCTCTATCCTGCCTCCTCTCTTTCTCCTACCTCCTCCCTCATCTCTCTCTCACTCGCTCTGGTTCCTTCTCATCTTCACACTCCTGTTTGTCTCTGATCTCTCCCCTCTTGCTCTCTCTCTCTCCCTCTCTCTTTCTGTCTCTCCTTCTCTCTTAAGCTCATTGGCTGCTCTGGTCACATGACTCAGTTCCCATCATGCCGTTTACCTCTGTCACATGATCTGTTTCCACTCTTTTATTCAGATCATGCTTTTTTCTGGACATTAAAACATATCAAATGACCCAAATGTGGCTGCATCTTTCAAATGAAAAGTTTCACAACAGTTTTTAAGTTCAGGTCAGAGGTGACGTTTACTTGAAGTACCACTGGAGTTACTTTTGAATCAAACTCTACTTCTCAGAGTAGTTGTACAGAGACATTGTGCTTCTCCTACTCCACTGATATAATAAGTCGTAGTCCAGGTAAAGTAGTGTTTTCCGTCAGAATAATTGTAACAGTTTGTTTTTCAGCTTAGATCATTTCATCAGGTTTCCTGAGCAACAGAGTCAAAATCCTAAAAGTCCGAGTTGAGGAAATATGTTCACTTCTCACCTGTCTGAGGTTTGTGTGTGGGGCTCTTTTTCCCTTTACTCCAATCAAAATGAAACTTAACACAATGGAAGTTCCCATCAAAAGTATATTTTTTTAGTTTTACAAGTTTCTTTGAAAATAAATGTTCATATGCAAATGTGCTATACAATAATCAAATACAGCCCACCCAAAATATCACCGCATAGGTGGAATATTTTTACTCTTAAAACAATAAAACCTGTCACAGTGAACGCATACATGAAACATTTTTGTTTTATACGTTTCTTGGGGAAAAAATCTATTTTAAATATGCAAATGAGCCCAAGTGACTTATGACCAAGAAGCCATAAAATCACAAGTAGAAAAAACTTTGTCCATGCAGTAAATTCATCTGTGCATAAACACCAAACATTTGAAGTCACCTGCCGTGACCTCATGCTTTAGACGCTGATGAGACCATCTCCAACCCCAAGCATTGTGTGCTTAGCTGTTTTTTACACATTCTTACACAAAGCTGTCAGCGTTAGCAAACAGTGCACATTTTGTTGGTCAGAGTTCACTTGTAATATTTTTCTGTTTATTGAATCTGCCATTGATATTGAAAATGGAACTTTTCTGTGAGAAATTAACTCAGAACTCATCTCCAGTGGAACCTGAGGCTCTCCCTCCAACAACAGCTGCAAAGGCTTCAGGTCTTTCACCAAATGATGGAATGCAAATGCAGAACTGAACGCATGGACCCAAAAGTCTGTAAGTGGCATGTTTTGGATGAGAGATTTATCGATCAGCCTGCAGCACCACCGCTAATACTAGATGTAGTTTGTTGTAGTTGCAAGAAAGACTGCGTCACAAAGAAGTGCACATGCACAGACATGGACTCTCTTGTACTGACATTTGCAGAGAATGCCATGCACAAACTCACAGTCGCCTGATTTATCAGATGAATATGAAGAACTAAGCAAAGAACAAACCAGGAACTGATATAGGAGGCGCCAGAACCAAGAGCCACAGAGAGAGGGTCGAGGATCCAGGCTTGATCAAAATAAAATTCAAATAAATAAAAATTAAAAAACACTCAAAAAAAAAAAAACTAACAAAAAAAACTTGTTGAGGTGGAGAGACTTGTGTACCTCTGTGACCCTGAAGACTACACCAGCAGGTTTATACCTGTGTGGTTATACTGATGTATTTCTCATATGAATGGTGTTTCTGTTTATGCAAATTAGGACAGATTCAGGAAGAGTGGAGCTCATGTAACATATTTAAATTATGTTCAAAAGAAACTTGTAATACAAAAACGTTACTTCTGGGTGTATTTTGGGCATATTTGATTATTGTATGGCTCATTTACATATTCAAATTCATAAAAAAAAAAGTTGTAATACAAAAATGTGCCTTTTCATGGGTACTTTGATTGTGTAAAGTTTCATTTGGACAGTTTTGTTGCCATATTGACACATACTGTGTCTCAGATTGATGAGAATTGAGTGCATTTCCTCAATTAGGATTTCTTGGGACTTTCAGTGTGTTGCTCTGGACACCTTATAGAAATGATCAGGACTTAACAGCAAACTCTTACAATTAATTCTATTTTTGGCTCCAAAATGAGTTACTTTGCCTGGACTACAGAGTAAAAGTCGTGCTTCCTCTTCCTTCTGTGAGTGACTCTGAAGTGACAGAAGTTTTATGTGACACATGAAATGATTTGAATATTTGTGTTTCTTGCAGCTCCTTCAGATCTGATTTACTTTCTCTCATTTTTGTGTCTGTCTTTGAAAACAGCAGATTTCTTAGACAACTGCTTTATACTTCTACTTGAGTAATATTTCTGAAGTATTTTGACTTGAGTACACTCTTGGCTCTGTACCCTCGGTCATGGTGTTTTCAGCTCAGTGACCTTCTGGAGAACATGGACGCCACAGGATTCAGTCTGTTCTGGCCGACGTACAGGAGCTGACCATCTGCTCCTCTGCTCCTCTGCTCCTTTGACCCTCTGCTCCTCTGCTCCTTTGACCCTCTGCTCCTCTGACCATCTGACCCTCTGCTCCTCTGACCCTCTGCTCCTCTGTTCCTCTGTTACATGGCTCTAGGTAACAGTTAAAGTACAATACCAGAGGAAGTGCACGACTGATTTTCCAGGTACAAGCTGAGAAATGTAGGCTTTGTCCATACTTATAATACTTCTGCCTATGACTACCTACTAGTACTCCTACTACTACTCCTATTACTCCTATTACTACTATTACTACTACTACTACCCCTGTTACTACTCCTACTACTACTATTAGTAGCTAGTGTGATTCCGCGGCACAATAGACACAGAGCCTCGTGTGAGACGCAGGCGCGACTTTCAGCACCACGGACAGCGCCACGGAGCTCCTCCACCTCAGCGAGTCTCAAGAAGCACAGTGACACACTTCTGGTTCAAAAGGTGAACTTTTAGAGTGTCCTCACTGAAGCAGAGACACTTGGTCGTTAAAGTGACCCCACGCGTTCATACGTACGCGGCAGACTCGCGGCAGACTCGCGGCAGACTCGGACACAGGACGTGCCGTTGGTTACGCACTGACATAATGGCTTTGGTTTCAGATGGAGCTCCGTGCGCTCCTGGGCATTCAGAGAGCGCGAGAGGCTGAGGGCAAACCCCGCCCCTGCCCCATCCGCCGCATCTCATTGACTCCGTCTGGCTGCGCGGCTCTCCGGCCCGTCAGAGCACGGGGCTTCGCGGGGGGAGAGGACCTGAGCACCGCGAGAGAATGCAGGGGCCTCACGGAGCCGGGGAGCCACATCTGGATGGTACACGGATTTAAACCCACGGATGGACTGAGGGCCGCGGATGAAGACCGCGTACACGAGCGCATATCGATGCACGAACGCGGAGGTGGACGTTATGGACGCGACAATGGACGGCGGCGTGGCTCTGGAAGAACAACAGGGGCGCAGCGTGCTGGGCTCGCGCTCTCTCATGTCGGGCATGAGCGCGCTGCTGGATGCGGACTGTCGCCACGATCTGCCGCTGCATCACGCCATGGGCGCGTGCGATGCGCCAACGATGAGCTGCTCGTACACCACGCTGACGCCTCTGACGCCGTTGCCGCCTATCAGCCACGTTACCGACAAGTTCCAGCGGCACATCCCCGTGAGCGGTAGCTTCACGCTCATGC